CCTTCCAAGTTGGGGCAGGAGCTCCCTGGGTGCTGCTGCAGCCACCCAAACCACAGCTGCAGACCAGGCCTCCAGCTCCATGGAGCAGGCAGAAGTCCTCCCCCACCCACCCCTACCACCCACCCCCAACTTTCCTCACCCTCCATCTCCCCTACCCTGAACAGCTGCAGCCACCCACCAGCTGCAGACTCAGGCATCCCTGCACTCTTGGGGGCCGAGGAAGGCCCCCTACCCTCACAGGATCCAAAGTGCCTGCTCCTGCTCCCTGGCTTCTCCCTGCTGTCAGCACCCTCTCAAATCTCAGAGCAAAGTCAGGCTGAGCCCTGGTGCCACAAATGGAAGCAGTAGGCAGACAGATTCCTGGGTAGAAGGAGGTGTGTCCCTGGTGAGGCCCCACCTTCAGGTCAGGGAGAGCCTGAAGGCTGGGGGCTGGGCTGCCAGTCCCACTGACCAGAGTGGGAACTTGTGATTCTTTTTCCAGCCCTCCCATGGCTTCCCAAGGACCAATCAGTGCACACTTCCTCCCCTCTGGGGCCCATAAAAGCCCCAGGCTCAGCTAGAGCTGAACAGACATCAGGAAGAGCAGCTACAGAGATGAACTACTCTCTCTACTGATAGCAGAAGACATTTAGACAACCAGCAGCAGAGAGGGGCTACCCACTCTAGGGCCTCCTCTCTGCTGAGAGCCTCAGAGACCTGCAGAGGCATGCAGACTGGCAGCTACAGAGAGGAGCAATCCACTCCAAAACCTCCTCTCTGCTGAGAGCTGCAGAGATGACAGGATGACCTACCTGCAGAGAGGAACCTTCCAATCCAGGGTCTCTTCTCTGTCAGGAGCTGAACACTCATCGGGACACCCTGACTGTGGAAAGCAGCTACCCTCTGTTGGTCTCCTGTGAGCTGTTCTATTGCTCAATAATGCTCCTCTTCACCTTGCTTACCCTGCACCTGTCTGCATACCTCATTCTTCCTGGTCGAAGGACAAGAACTCAGGACCCACTGAATGGCAGAGGTAAAAGAGCTATAACACAAACAGAGCTGAAACATGCCCCTTGTTCACCATGTTGCAGGCAAAGAGAAGGAGAAAAGAGCTGCAGTCCCTCGGGAGCCCAGACCTGGGAGCTCCCCAAAACAGGGTTGTGACTCTTTGGTATCCTGCAGTGCCTGGTGTCTCCAAGCTTGCAGGCACCACTGCATCCCCCAGTTCCAGCTGGGGAAACTACTTGCTGTGCACCTGGTCCAGCCACAGCCTCACAGAGAGCCAGTGCCCATGCCAGCACCTGCAGTTGCCTGCCACTGCAGCAGCTGTAGTGTCTGCCTGTGCAGTGGCCTGACCCCACATTCGCTCACACACCCCTCTTGGCTCCATTCCTGACTCACCCTTGGCAGGCATGGGATCCAGGCTGGTAGCAAGGGCTGAATGCAGCCTGCCAATCCCAGTAGGTACAACAAGCCCAGTAAGTCCAAGAAAACTTGGGCAGAGGTGCCACTGGCCAGAGGTTTTAGGCCATAAAAGCAACACCCCAAGGATCCGGTAATATTATTGTGATGTCTTCTCCATAATTTTCTTACCTTTTTATGGAAATTTCTTGATTCGATTACTGAATTAAGGATGGAGCTCTCAGATAGGGTGATGATGTGTTTTTTTTTTTTTTTTCTTTTTTGAAACAGTCTATTTCTGTCTCCCAGGCTGGAGTGCAGTGGTGTGATATCGGCTCACTGCAACCTCTGCCTCTCAGGCTCAAGTGATCCTCTTGATCACCTCAGCCACCCCAGTAGCTGGGATTACAGGCATGCACCACCACACCCAGCTAATGTTTGTATTTTTAATAGTCATGGGGTTTCATCATGTTGGCCAGGCTGATATTGAACTCCTGGCCTTAAGTTATTCACCTGCTTCAGCCTCCCAAAGTGCTGGGATTACAGGCGTGAGCCTCCTCACCTAGCCAAAGAAAGCATTTTAGTATTTGGCTGTACTATTAATAGTTCTGAAAAAGAAGTCAGTCTATTTTACCTGAGGACCTATCCTTTACAAACACTTTATCTAGGCTTTGATTTTTTTAAAAACTGAAGGTACCCTTTTGAGTGACACCAAAACCAGTAAATCCAGGCCTGTTGATATGTGACACTGGGTAGGTTCTCCTGGGATTGGACTTTCCCAGGACTAACCAAGCCACAAGGGTTAGGAAAGCAAAATACTCATAGGGATGGGGCTTCTTAAGAGAAACTCTCCCGAGAACTGGACATGTGTAGAACAACAGGTGTGCTCTTCAGAAGCACCAGCTGCTCAGTCTGCAGAGCCAGCTCCAACAGGTGGGTTTATAGGGGTTTCAGGCCCATGTTCTACACTCCTGTAGCCCTTTTTATGACAGAACAACACAGAAATACAGGAACAAAGGAAAAGACTATTTCTAGAGGGAAAAGGGATCAAACAATATGAGTATTCATAAGAGAAAGTGCTAGACAGTACCCTAGAGTTGCTGCACCCAGTACTAGTCACACAAATCCTTTTCTTCTGTTTATTAAGATTTTGCAGAGGAGACAAAGAGCAATTCTTAACATCTGCCCAAGTGGATCTCCCAGAATGAAAGGCCAGGAGCCTGACTGGAAAGAAATTCTTCCTTTTCTCAGCCAGACATGGTGACATGTGCCAGCTACTTGGGAGGCTGAGATAGAAGGATCACTTGAGCCCAGGAGGTGGAGATTGCAGTGAGCTGAGATCATACCACTACACTCCAGCCTGGGTAATAAAGTGAGACTCTGTCAAAAAAAAAAAAAAAAAAGAAAAAGAAATTCTTACTTTTCTGCTGACTTACCAGTGCTTGGGCTCCCTTCACTGAGGCTTCTGAAAAAGCAGAATGGCTTTGGTATCCTGTGCACAGGGACAGAACTGCAGAGACCAAGAAAAATGTTTGTCCTTTCTCCTCTGAAGGTTTGCTTTAAAAAATCACCCACAAAGGAGATTAATGGGAGAAATAGCATACATACTCATTCATATGTTCATGGAGGAGAAATACAGAGTGATTCCCCCTTCTTGAGAAACAGTAAGTCTCAAAGAAAGAGACTTTCTTTCACTCCCTTTTATCCAGGAGTGAGAACAACTAGTTGAACAAAACTGACAGCTGTCAATCAAGTGGAAAGTCCAAAACTCATGAGAGACCCATCCAGTTTTCAGTCATCATGGAGGAGTGAGAGGGACTCCATGGCCCCTGCTAGTACCAAGTTGCCAGGTCCCTGCAATGTTCCAGACAAAGACAGTGGTTGTAAAAAGAGAAAAGTGGAGGTAGAACGCAAATGGGGCAGCAGGAAGATATAGGACTCTCCGTTTTAGGGTCTTCGAGTTTTTCAGATTTTCTGAGACATGGGTTAAGTCTTCAGGTTAGTCTCCTATTAAAACATAGCTAAAGTCCCAATTGTGTTTGAAACTTTCAAAAATGCAGATTGAAAGAAAGCCTTTTATTGTCTTTGAGACATCCAGACTCCTCTTGTCCTCATTGCATGCTTCAGAGTTCAATTTAGATGTATCTCTCACATCCATTTCTATTGAGCCTTTATCTTTAAATTTTAAACTTGAAAAACTTCCAGAGTACCTGACAGTGATTGGTCAGAGACAGAGCCACCGGATTACCTGATGGCAGCCCTTAGAGACCATGGCCTTAGAACCTAGTTTATGCATAGCCCTCACCTTAGGAAGGAGTCCCTTCAAGGGCAAATAAGGTGTGATAGTCCTTGCAACACTGAAGCATGGAGTATCCTGTGAAGCATGAGCTTGCTTGATGCAGCATGAATGCACCCTAGGAAACATGAGCATGCCCCTCCAAGTGCAAGTGTACCCCAAAAGTGGGTAGCCATAGAGCCAGAAGGGCAGGTTCCCTGAAAAAAATAAAGACCTCAAGACCTTAGCCTAAATGGGAGATCTTGGATGCGAGAGGATTTACTGATTTTTCCATGAAACAGCCAGGCCAGGAAGATAACTGAGCTTAGAGCACTCTTGCTGGTGCCAATGCATTGATTAGTCCAGATGGCACAAGGGAGAAGATCTTGGGAGCCAATTTTGATCCCTTCCTCATCACCAAGAAATACTAGCAAAGACAGAAGGAGGGCTTCATTTTCTACAAAACACAGTCTGCAGATTGAGGAGATGCAGCCTTGGAGGTGGAGAGCTATAAAGTTAAAAATCACAGGGCAGGGAAGAGGAGTTAAGAACAGAGTCTTGATTGGACAGCCTTTAAGCCCCAAGTCACATGTCTCTTAATTGGCTATTCCAAAGTGGTCAGTTAGTTCTTACCACATGATCTGTTGGTGAGCAGTTGGAAAATTCCCAGGTACAGATTTTTTCAGAAAATGTTATTTGACTTGGCTACAGAAAAATAGGTTTTGCAACACTTACTAAGAACACAGAGAACATGACCATCACCTAAACCTGCCATGGCCTCTTGGGTTTGTTTTTGCTTTTGAGGCACAGGGAGTCCTTCTTGTCTGTTAACCTGGAGGCATAATTTGACAACCTAGATAACAAATAGAGATGGGTTTTCCAAAAATAATTATTTTTATTTGGGAATAAAGCATTGCAATGGGAATATGTGTGCCAGGGTAGACTCTGTGCATATTCAGGTAGGTAAAGTAAGACAAAGTTTAAAAAAGTAATGAGGAGAATTACATCTTTGTTTTGGAACGATTATCCTTGGCTATAAAGATCAATAACAAAGCTGACATCAGTTTGAGGTTCGACAGGCCGTTGCTGGGCAGATGTTCTTGCAGAAGTATTTTTCTTTAGGTTTCTGAGAATCTATAAACTTTGGGCTTACCAATAGCAGCGATTGATTTGTTTACTGATTGATTGTTCACAGAATAGGAAATCAAAGGAGGCCAAAATAAGGACAGCCATAATTATTTGCCAATTATCAGTTTGAAAAGGGTACCCAAATCCCTCCACACGAGGAGTAACATAAGTGGCTTTCCTACTGGCTGCAGCTGTAGACCCACCTCCTTCCCCAGCACATAAATATCCCTGTTAACATTAACTGAATCACCTCTGGGTAGAGAAAGCAAACTGTGTATGCACAGCCCAGCAAAGAGCAGCACACAGCTGAAAGAAAAACTCAGACGACAGAGTTGAAAAAGAAAACTGGTGATGGATCTCATTCCAAACTTTGCCATGGAAACATGGGTTCTCGTGGCTACCAGCTTGGTACTCCTCTATATGTGAGTAACTATGCAGGCATGTCTGCTCTTAACTCTAAGACCTGAAGTGCTAATTGGGCCCATCGTTTTCTTACTTGTTTTGAAAATAAAAGAGATAATGGAGGGGAGGTTACCTAAGTGCCAAATGCTATGAACACATAAAATATTATTAATCTGTTAGAGCTCTTAATACAACATTTGAAAATATAAAACTTAGGCTGGGCGTCATGGCTCACGCCTGAAATGTCAGCACTTGGGAGGCGAAGGCAGGCCAATCATGAGGTCAGGAGTTCAAGACCAGCCTGACCAACATGGTGAAACCCCGTCTCTACTAAAAATACAAAATTTAGCTGAGGTTTCAGTGAGCCGAGATCACACCACTGCACTCCAGCCTGGGCAACAGAGCAAGACTCCTTCTCAAAAAAAAAAAAAAAAAAAAAAAGAAACTTTGTCATGCTGAGTACTTTGGACTCAAGAAGACTGAAAGATTTCACAAATTCCTGCAGAACTTCTGACTTTCTTCTGTCTACCCATCCCCCATTCTTTCCCTCCTGAAAGTGCAGGGTTGGGCTTGCTCTGAAGTTCTCTTATCTGACTAAGGGAAGATGTTCCAAAAAGAATGCAATTGTCTTGGGCCTCTCCAAATAATCTCATCAATCAGAAGACTAACTCACAGGAAAGGAGAAAAAGTTTGATAATACTTATTCCTTGGCGCACTGCTACCTGAGAGACTTTATCTCCATAATAAAATAAAATGTGTTCATCATGCGTTTTCTCCCCTCACCCTCCCATAACTTGTGTCAGCAACTCCCTATCAGAAGCTGCTCCCCCGTTTTTAGTTCACAATGCTATTTAAGCTTTAATCATTCAGTCCTTATTTTAGTCTCATATATTGTGGGCCCCCAGTGCATATGCATGTAAAATTGTGTGTGGATTTTAATTGTAACCACCCAAGAGTTTCACCTTGCCCCCTGCCTAGACAGAGCCCATTCATCAAGTCAGGGGAATTGCAATAGAGAAAGAGTAATTCATGCTGCCAACAAAAAGAGCCAAACTCTGTACAATACTTGAAGAGATTTATTCTGGGCCAAATATGAGTGGCCATGACCCATGACACAGACTTCAGGAGGTCTTGAGAACGGGTACCCAAGGTGGTCAGGGTGCAGCTTGGTTTTATACTTTTAGGGAGGCTTGAGATATCAAATACATTTAAGAAATACATTGGTTTGGTCCAAAAAGGCAGGAAGGGTTGTGATTTTTGCAGAATTCTTTGTGATAGAGCAGACTCCAGAGAAATTGCCACAACTTAAAGTCTTTCAGATCTGGCCCCAAGGAGCTATAGGAGAGAAAAATCTGTCAGATCAACATTGCCTGCCTCTACTCCAACTGGAGCTGTTTCAAAACCAATATCTAGAAATTGTTTTATCTGGCTGCCCTGTGAACTCAGAAACTAGTCTGCTAAATGATTAACTTTTTGTCCTCTTTTGCTTTGGTAGAACAACCTCTGATTAAGTACCTGTTTAACTGCACCATATACAGACCTAACTTTCATGACAGCACAGCTGCAACACCACCTCCTGAAATGAGGCACAGCTGTTTAACTGGATTGACATTGCTAGGAACGTGAGACTGGTTCAGACTGGTTTAATGTGATCCCTTGCGACTCAGCTACCAATTCAATTGTCATCTCCACTAGCACCAACCCAGCTTTAGTATGTACATTTATGACAGGGGTATATTGGGGCTCCAAAAATGAAACCCCAAAATATGACACTTTGACATGTTGAGGACTTTGAACCAAAGGAGATTGAAAGGTCTCAGAAAGGCTTCAGAAGGTAACTCTTATGTTCTCCTGTCTCCCAACCCTGCTATTTCTCCTAAAATACAGGGAGGGGCTTTCTCTGAAGTTCTCATACCTAAAGGAAGGACCTCCTAAAAAAAAAGCCATGGTCTTGAGCCCCCTCCCTATAATCTCATCAAAAAGAATATTAGCAAGGCCAGGCATGGTGGCTCACACCTGTAATCCCAGCACTTTGGGAGGCTGAGGTGGGTGGGTCACCTGAGGTCAGAAGTTCAAGACCAGCCTGGTCAACATGGTGAAACCCTGTCTCTACTAAATATACAAAAATTAGCTGGGTGTGGTGGTGGGTGCCTGTAATCCCAGCAACTCGGGAGGCTGAGGCAGGAGAATCGCCTGAACCCAGGATGCAGAGGTTGCAATGAGCTGAGATTGTGCCATTGCACTCTAGCCTGGGCAACTTCGTCTCAAACAAACAAAAAAAAAGAATATTAGCTCACAGGAAGGGAGACTAAAGGTTGAGAATACTTGTTCTTTGGAGCACTGATGCCTGACAGACATTATAATAAGATGACTTTTGTTTATCATGCTTTTTCTCCCTTCACTGTCTCATATCTTGTGTTACCCACTTCCCATCAGAAGATGCTACATTTTTGTATTTCAGAATGCTATTTAAGCTTCAATCATCGGACCATTCTTAGAATATCATATCTTTCAAGGCTTCCATGCATATGCATGAGATAGATTTATAAGGATTATCTCCTCTTAAATGATCCACTGTTAGTTCATTTCTCAGACTCAAATACCAAACCTCCATAGAGGAATGTTCTCTTGACCCTACAGATATTACACAGATCCACTGAAGGAGTTATCCACCCCCTCTTCATTATCCACCCCCTCTTCATTCAACTTCCAATTTCTGTTACTGAGAGTGTTTGCTGACATCATTCAATCCTGGGGATGCTTTCTGATTGACTATGATATTTGATCTACCTGGACTAATCAACCAGAATTTACCATGGGCAGATAATGGATTATAAACAACTGGAAATCATGTTCAGTGGGAACCTCACCTACTTCTTTAGCTCCAGGCATTTTGGGGGCAGAAGGGAGACTCTAGGAGGTCTTATCTCGTTACCTTCACCTCTGTATTCTGTGTCTATGGCAAGAGATATGTAGAAAGATTGCCCATTTATGATAGGCATAAATGGTTTCTTCCCCACTCCCACTCACCCCCAGGGCATCATTTACTTAAGGCACCACAGGGCACCCCAGATTTCATGGGAGGCTTAAACTCAGCTCTTCTCTCCTTTCTGTTCCCCTGGCCTGGAAATGCCCTCTGTCCTGAAACTCAATTCCTCCACCCTGTAACATGCACAACAATTTACTTCTTCTTTTTTTTTTTTTTTTTTTTTTTTTTTTCTTTTTGAGATGAAATCTCACTCTGTTGTCCAGGTTAGAGTGCAGCCCCACGATCTCAGCTCACTGCAATCTCTACCTCCTGAGTTCAAGCAATTCTTCTGCCATAGCCTCCTGAGTAGCTGGAATTACAGGCATGCACCACCACACCTGGCTAATTATTGTATTTTTAGTAGAGACGGGGGTTTCATCTTGTTGCCCAGACTGGTCTCAAACTCCTGACCTCAGGTGATCCACCCATCTCAGCCTCCCTAAGTGCTGGAATTACAGGCATGAGCTACCACACCTGGCCACAATTTACTTCTATATGGTGAAATTTTAGAGCAGAGGAGATCTAGAGGAAATCTCAACACTCTCTTCTTTTCTGTCACATTGTCCTTCCAGTCTCTGGGAGCTTAGCGTCAGCATAGAGATTTCTTTCTCCCCTCATATGAAATGTGCTAGCAGCCTGAAAAGGCAGGAGACTTTAAAGCCAATTTGGATTTTAAATATTTGCTGCCCTTTAAGTTCAAGTACCAGAGGATACATCCTTCATTGGTGATGAGATTCCTGGCCTCATGGAGCAGGTAGAGCGGTGTCCTTATTTTTCTTTTTTCTTTGAGACAGAGTCTCACTCTATCACCCAGTCTGGAGTGCAGTGGTGCAATCTCAGCTCACTGCAACCTCTGCCACCCAGGTTCAAGTGATTCTCCTGCCTCAGCCTGCTGATTAGCTGGGACTACAGGCGCGTGCCACCATGCCTGGCTAATTTTTGTATTTTTAGTTGAGATGGGTTTCACCATCTTGGCCAGGCTGGTCTTGAACTCCTGACCTTGTGATCCACCTGTCTTGGCCTGGGATTACAGGTGTGAGCCACAGCGCCAACCCAAGGGGCTATTTTTGATGTGTGAGTAGGAAAAGATCCCCACAGAGGGAACCAAGCTAACAGCTGGGCCTGGCCAAGGTGCCACTGTGGGGTCCTTCAAATACATTCTCTTCATGCAGTTTTTCAGCTTTATCACATTTTATAAGATTTATTTATTTGTACCGAATAGGATCTAAGAAAAGCTAACCTATAAAGAAGAGAAATCAAGTTTCTAATTCAACTGTCTGGAATATTTTATGGTTACTTATGCTATGTAGCACAGTGAATCTTTTCTATCAACAGAAATGTTTCTGAATTTTGGAAGGCCTCTCTTTCAGCTGAAAGCACATATGGGACATTTAAAACTATTTATGCACGCCATAGTTTTCAGCCACACTTTCCTAATTTAACTTTATAGGGTCTACTTTGTGGCACCAGCAGCTGCATGGTTAAATTGGTGGGATGCAGCCTCTCTTTTTCCTCCGTTCTTCCATCCCTCAGTAACACCAGAGTGGGAAGTTCTGCAAGGATCCAGAACCTGAAATTGATGGAGTTCACACATAACCCATCAAAGATGAGTTGCAGGCAGGCCTGCCATAAGGAGCACCAGACTTAATGAGTTTTCCTGCAGAGGTAGTTGATGTACAGAAGCAGTAAACTGACTGCTGTGTGACTGATCATTTTGAGAAAAAAAAAAAGTGAGCACGACTGGCATTGTGTTTATCAAGTAAGGATCACCAGTTGGAGGGCCAGATTGCACAAGAGGAGGAACAGCCTTGAAATTTATTCTTTAGTCATTGGTTCCTCTGCATAGTGCCATTCAGAGAACAGACAGGTCAATCACACTTGCTGTAGTTTATACAAATCAAATCATCTGACCACAGAGATTTGCATGTAGCTGGAAGGTGCTCACATTTCTATGAAACCAATGGAAGCCTTGAACATGGTTGCCATTCTGTAGAAATAAGAACACTATGATTCTTCCAAAGCTTCTCTGTGGAGGAACATTTAAGAATGGCCAGATCCTAAAACAAGGTCAGAGTTTAGAGGGAAGAAAAAGCATAAACAGCTCTGAGAAAACAAGAAAGACAGTGTCACCAAAGGGTCTCAGTGACCCTCTGTAATTCAATGGATGTAGTGATGCACAAATGCATTATCAGTTCAAAAGATGGGGGAAAAAAAAAAAAATCTCACCTTTTTTGCCTAGTGATATGGTTCGGCTCTGTGTCCCCAGTCAAATCTCATCTTGAATTGTAATCCCCATGTGTCAAGGAAGGGACCTGATGGGAGGGATTGGATCGTGGGGGTGGTTTCGCCCATGCTGTTCTCATGATAGTGAATGAGTTCTCACAAGATCTGATGGTTTTAAAAGTGTGGCACCTCCTCTCTCTCTCTCTCTCTCTCTCTCTGTCTTTCTCTCTCTCCTGCCTCCATGTAATACATGCCTTGCTTCCCCTTCACCTTCCACCATGTTTGTAAGTTTCCGGAGGCCTCCCCAGCCATGGAGAACTGTGAGTCAATTAAACCTCTTTTCTTTATAAATTACCCAGTATCAGGTAGTTCTTTATAGCAGTGTGAAAATGGACTAATACACCTAGAAAGAGAATTTCCAAATCAGGAAAGAATCAATTAACTAAATAGATATGCATGAATGAAATGCCCTGGAAGAATTCCAGCCTGAACCTTTTAAGAACACTCAAATTTGGGAACATTTATTAAGCATTCACTCTAGCACTGGGATCATGCAGACTTTAGCTGCTTTTAGTTAATCATTGTGACTTTTTGGGGTCTCACAGAGGAGGCAGCAAAAAAGATGAAGATTGAAATGTAATGGGATTTTAAGGAATCAGAGAGATCGATGGGGTTCAGGAGGATATTTATTAATTATTTAGGTGCACCAGCCCAGTCGGATTAAACTCCAGAGGACTGAGCCCTGAACAAAGAATTAAGTTACCTTTTAAGCATTTCGTGGGAGAGAGGAGATCTGTGCAGAGGGAAGCATGCTATAGAAGCGAGAAACAAACACAGTTATTCAACTGAGACATGCATTACATCATTTCTTACTTTTCAAGGAATCACATGTTTTGCAACTTGAGTTTATCTGTCTAGTGACCTTTCAGTTGCACAGCTAGGGAAACAGCGTCTTCACAATGCCTGGGAAGGGAGGAGAGATAAGGCTCACTAGACTCAGAAAAAGAGGCAGTTAGTTTTTAAAAGACTCCAGCTCTTTCTGTTTTTCAGGGGAAGTTGGGTTTTTTACATACAACTGAGTTTCTTCTTACACGCTCTTTAATTTCTTTTAATTCCTGTTCCATTCCCCCCTTTGGTGCTTTTTATAACAGAGGTGTTAATAGAAAGCACCACTATTTACCACCTCATCACGGAGCTGAGCTTTTTCTTCTACCGGCAGCAGCTGATATCTGGTTAAGCCACAACTGCGCGGTAGTGTGTTGGGCTACTATTGCCTCTATAGTTGACTGAATACTCCTAATAAACAGGGGTAAAAGGCAAGAGAGGACGAGGCAAATGCCAAAAATAAGTAAGAACCCACTAATGAGTGTTCTGAATTCTCCAAAGACTGACAACCATCCTCCAAATAAGGAATCTGGGGGCCACCCTGACCAAGTCTGAACTGGAGCACGTGCCATCTCACGCATTCTAGCTGTGATTTTCATGACAGCTTGACCATTATCATCAACTTCTAAGCAACATTTGGTTAAATTAAATTTTTCACATACTCTTCCTTCTGAGGCTAAAAGGTCATCTAAAGCCAGCCCATTTTGATATATAGCATTTCTCATTTGTGTTGCTTGTATTGCCAATAAATCTAGTGCCCTTGATGTTTTATTGGTTATGATTTCAAGGACTGCCTGCAACCGTATGATACAGTTGAGCATATAGATGGGGTACGGTACCCTCATGACTTGTCTTGCACCTAGGTAGCTGGCCTGTAGTATTTAATGATGCTTTCAGGAGACCATTTATTATCTTTCCAGTCTCCTATGTCCACATCTTTTTTGATATTTGTGTTTATTTTTGTGATTATGCCTTTTCTAGTTCTTCTTTCATTTTCATCATAAACGGGATATCCTAAGAGTTCCCCTTGCTTTAGAGGAATTAGAAAGAAGGATGGCTTGATTGTTTCTAACACACAAGCCTCTGTCCATTTAGCCAGCAGTTGCCGATACGCCCATGCTCCACAGGTCCAATATAGGCCAGAGGGTGCTTTCTAAGCATTTGGAGCCTCTAGCTGATGCCAAGTGTGGCTTAGAGTAGAGAATCAAGAGAAAGGGTTTCAATCTGGTAAGTAGGAGTCGTTCTGGGCATTTCTTCAATAGAGTTTTGTTTTTAGTCTCATCATAATACTGTTGCCCTAGGCAGGTCATTTCTCCTATTGCCTCTGTGAAAGCCTTTCCTCATTGGGTAATAAAGTACTTTCCAATTATGGAGGTTTTTAACAACCAAACACTGGCTGAGGCTGTTGGTTCACTGGTAGGGTAAGTGAAGTGAAGTTATCTTGTGGCATTAATTCCTTTGCCTCCCATGGCCACTGGTCCCCCATATTAGTTCCTCCACATACACAGCATGAGGAAATACCTAAGCTGCCAACCATGTTTTCAGCTAGTCGAGCAAATAAGTTTTTGGTTGATGGGTGAAGCTCAGGCACTAGCTGATCAAAATGCTTATAGAATGACTTATGGACCCGGAATTGCAGGGTTGGACACATTTGAGTTCTTCTAGTCTTTTTGACAATCAGTAGTGGAACTTTAAGGCCTGCTCCTTGTCTATCAACTCATAATAGTGCTGTCTGTCCTGTAGACCAAAAAGGTAGCTCTGGCTTTAAGATAGTAAAATTTAAAGGATTGCTTGTCCTTGTCTCACAATCTGGTTTGGCTGACATACTACTTAGCAGAGCAGTCTTTCCTGAATATAGGTGTTGGAGCTGTGTTAGTGTAGACCACTGAATGTTACAGTCTGGGCATCCAATTTGTGGTTCTCCATATAGATGTTTAGGACTGCTGTTGCTAAGCCTCTCTTGTGTCAAACCATTGCAGACTACTTCTGGTTTTTTAGGATTATGAGCATACGTGGCGTGGTAGGCATCAAAATACAGGGAAATAGGTCTTTTATACAAGGGAAGGTCTTCTTTAGTTTGAGTTATAAGCTCTCCTTCTTTTTCTCAATCTGATTTAATATGTATCTCAAACCAGAATTCATAGGGTAAGAGCGTAGGGTCAGAACATACATATAGCTGATTACTTCCTGGGTCACAGACTGAATAGGTGGTCTGGTCGTATGTGCAGGTTCCTAACTTGGTTCCTGAACATTCATAGTAGGTATGGTACAGTAGAGTTTTAACTATGGTATTCCTTACCCAGGTAGTGTGTACACAGTGTGAGCATCCTTCTAGAGATTTCTCCCTTTTAGCATAGGCAGAAATGGTAACAACATTAGTGTATGTAATAGAAACGTGCTTACTCTACACATGAGCATGGCAAACCTTCCTCTGGGCATAGACATTTGCAGCATTTGCAGTAATACCATAACAACAGAACAATCAGTATTGACAGAATGATAACCAGGCTTATAAATTGTATCCACATTTACTTACCCGGAGATGGTCCTCTTAGTTTCGGCTGTGCATAGACTAGTCAGCTTCTGGGATGTGACTAGAGTAGAGCTTGCAGGAATCCCTGAAGCCTCAGCCAAAATCAGTTTTTCAGGCCCCACCTGAGGAATGTCCATCCCTGTATGTGCCAGTCTACCCATCTTTGGCCAAAATAAGGCAGGAGGCAGAGTCAGGAGCACCTGGAGACTCGGGCTTGGAAGAAAGTAAGGCTCAGTCCTTTGGATGTTAATCCGACTGGGCCGGTGTACCTAAATAATTAATAAACATCCTCCTGAACCCCATCGATCTCTCTGATTCCTTAAAATCCTGCTACAAAATGTAATTGTTGCTGTTAGAGTTTCTGTTATTTATCGCCTCCATGTTACCCCCCTCCCTTGAACATTCCAGTTCCCGAGGTAATGTCTGGCCAGCCCCATATCTATAAAGTTACAGTTTCTGTAACCTGGCTTTCTCTTTTATTTTATAGTTATGGGACTCATTCACATACACTTTTTAAGAAGCTGGGAATTCCTGGGCCAACCCCTCTGCCTTTCCTGGGAACTATTTTGTTCTACCTTAGGGTAAGTGTTATTTGAGCTCCCTCTGTTGCTTCTTATCAATGCAAACCCAAGCTTAGTCCTATCAGTAAAAATGTTCCTCCTCAGGAGGAAGTGCCAGTGTTTTACACTTTCAGAAATGGTGTGTAGGCCCTACCCAGAGCATGGCCAGGTGTACACCAGGACTTCCATGTTAATGGTCAGGGGGCTTGGATTTGCCTCAGTTGAACGGCACAGATATCTGGGAGATCAGCACTCGAAGTTCAGGACTTGATGTTCAGACTTTGCGAACCGTAAAGAGGACTTTCCTTTTGCCCTGTGCAGATTTCTGAGAAGGTACAGTTGTCCTTAGTATTAAGAGAAAAACAGAAATGGGGAAATGGGAGCCCCAGTATCAGCTTGTTAGTGTCATGTACCAGACTCAAACTTTCCTGTTTGTAGCAAGAGCTCTGGTAGCCTTTTGTTTCCTTCCTCCTGGACAGCTTTGAAAATTCAGTTCATTAGGCAGCTATTCACCACTGGATAATTTGCACATACTTGAATTCTGTCAAGAACTGTTAAATTCCTTGCAGGTAGTTCCATAGTTGTGCTCCAGCTTCTTCTCCCCATGATGTATTTTACAGATGTGAGAGGAAGAACAAGAAGGTTCTGCTTTCCTGCTGCTTTTCTTCAAAGGCAGCACCCTGTGAGTGAGCCTGAGCAGGGAGTGCTTATACTGAAGACAATATGGTGGTTGTCCATCAACTTCAGATATTTAACCACAAAATGAGCTCTGTTTTTTTTTTTTTTTTTTAAAGAAAGGCAAAATTACTTAACAAAATAACTGGAAAGGGAATAATTTGACAAACGTATTTAAAATTTAATTATCTAAACAGGAGGTAATACATGTCTCATGGGCTATGAATTTTGACTAAGCCTTGTGGTTACCTTGGTCTGTTGCTCCACCAAGGGCCTGGGGCCAAAATGGAAAGTCACAAGTGTATGTCCACAAGGCCAGTAAGAAAGCCTATGTATAGGTTGCTCTCTGACTCAAGTTTTCTGTCTTACAGACCTGAGGCCTGTTTCTCAGATTCTAATTCTCCCAACTGAGGCCTTCATTGCCAAATTACCACTTAAGAATTTCATCCTTTTTTACCCTCTGAAAAAGCAATAATTTTCTCTCATATTTCCCAGGTCAATCCTTTAGTAAATCCACATTTCCTGAGTCATATGTTGCCTAGTGAGAACATCAAAACTGAAACAAGGAAGCAGGAAGGTTTGTTTTTAAGTGTCAGAAGTGACAACTCTGAGTGAATACTGTAATGTGCTGTCTGACATCTAGAGGTGGCATTTCCCACACTTATTATGTGTTAAGCTGGAAAACTGGAAAGTGAGTCCATTCTGTCATTTGCCCACTCACTCATTTTCTCACTCAACAAAATGCCTTGGACTTTTATTTAAATCTGCTAGGCTAAAAGTGGTCCCTGATGTTTTTGACTTTCTAATTCAGCTAGACTTCTAGGAAGAACACAAGAGATAGATGAAAAGGATGCTGAACGAGGAGATAAAAGATAGCACATTCCCTTGAGACACTCACTCACTTTCCCTCAGCCTCAGTTTCTTCATGTTCCCATGGTGGTGATAATTCAGGGGTTTATGAGATTGCAGAGACAACATATGCAGAAATGAAAGCACATCAGAAAGACAATGGGTTGCTTAGTGTTCATAGACAAAAGTAAGTCATTCAATATCTACGCTACTTAGAGAAAATTTAAAAGTGACTTTAAATTCTCCACTTCAAATATCTTCTCTATTTTCTCTCCTTTTCCTTAAGAGGTCTCTGAATAAGATTCCTGGCTGGGCGTGGTGATTCTTGCCTGTAATCCCAGCACTTTGGGAGGCCAAGGCAGGAGGATCACCTAAGGTCAGGAGTTCAAGACCAGCTTTGCCAACATGGTGAAACCCTGTTTCTACTAAATATATGAAAAATAGTCGGGTGTGGTGGTGGGCCCCTATAATCCCAGCTACTTGGGAAGCTGAGGCAGGAGAAGAGCTTGAACCCAGAAGGCGGAGGCTGCAATGAGCCAAGATCACACTGTTGCACTCTAGCCTGGGTAGCAGAGCGAGACACCATCTCAAAAAAAAAAAAAAAAAAAAAACAAAAAACCTCTAACTGCCAGTAAATGGTAGCAAGCCTAACGTCATTGTATTTGACTTTTTTGCCCCAGTTAAATGTAGGGTTCAGTACATTTGAAATAATAATTGAATTGTATTTTGTTTCTTCTGCCAGGGTCTTTGGAAATTTGACAGAGAATGTAATGAAAAATATGGAGAAATGTGGGGGTGAGTATTCTGGAAACTTGCATTAGATAGAGCTGTTGCTATGTTGAGTGATTTTACTGCAGAGAGAACAATCTCAGCCCAGAGTCTGTTTGGATAAACTTCTTGTCAACCTAAGTAACAAACAGAGAGAGGCTATCTAAAAGAAAAAGATGATCTGGGAATTGAGCATTGCAAGGGGAATATACATGTCATAGGAAACTCCATGCATATTTGGGATGTGAACAAAAATAAAATCTTTCGGACTCTAAACTCACTATGCTGAAGGGAAAGTTGAGCTTGAGAATTAAGTCATACATTACTGTCTTCCTTTTTACCCCAGACAGATAGCTGTAATTTCATCACCCTGAGCAATAGCTTCATACATAAGCCACACTTCCACAACAATAGTAAAGTGGCATCATTTGTCTGGGGTAATACCTGAGGTTTGTTGTCCCACGCCAAGGAAATTAAGGATGCGGACACACAAGGAGTAAGGTTAAGAGCAGAGGCTGGATAGGTGAAAGAGAAAAGCTCTCTCCCACAGAGAAAGGGGGTCCCCAGTGGGTCTTCCGATCTGTAGTAAAGTGCAGGAGGTTTTATAGACGAGCTTAAGGAGGCAGTGTCTGATTTACATAGGGCATGAAAGATTGGTTGGACCAGGTGTGCCATTTGCATAGCACATAAAAAACTGGTTAGGACTAGGTATGCTGTTTGCATAACATGTGAAGAAGTTGGCTGCCCCACCCTAATATTTTATTATGCAGATAGGTTCTCTACCTGGCTGGCACCATGTTGCCTGCTTTTTTACTGTACATAAGGTGACAAAGATAAGGGAAGATGGAGCCTCCATGTTGAACATACCTGGCTTCCAAGGTAGCCCTTTTCTATTGGCACAGTTGCCTGCATTTACCCATGCAAGCTTCCAGCTTGCGTATTGATGTCTGCAGCTTGATTTTTTTCAGGCTGCTCTTTGTTAGAAAAGAAATGATTTGGGGGGCAGCTTTGTATTAAAAGGGAATCCTTGCTGAGGACCCCTTTGCCTTCACTATCTGCCTAAATAGTTTTTTTTCTAGCTCCTATATCAATAGAAGGCTACATATCTTTCTGGATGGTTTCCCTCACAAGTTGCTCATATGGAAATTCCTCATAAGCCCCTAAATGCTTCATGATACACATCTGCCCTATAAACCAGCCCTATCATTGAGTTCTGTTGACTCACACCCTGATCATGTAAATTACCAGCTTATCACAAGTACAGAACAAGGACAAGACCAGAAATCATCCTTCCACCTACCTTGAGATGAATATGTAACTGACTTTTCCTCTACTCTCTCTTTTCATGTGTATATCTTATGTAAAATGTAGATTTTCTGAGTACAACATGAATGCATAATTGATTTTTTCCTCTACTCTGTCTTTTCACATGTAAAATGCAGATTTAATGAGAGCTAATTGGTGCCTTACAGAAATGTAATCATTTGCACACTGCCTACTCTTTCCCCCTTTTTTCCTTCCTGCTGGCTCCTTCCTCTTTAAATTCAGAAGTTCCCAAAACCATCTTTGGAAAAACACAGGTCACAGCTACCCCTGTGGCTCATGTGTTTCCAGATGTACCCTCAAGCTTTGACTCAATAAACCTCTATCAATCAAGACACCTGCCTCAGTCACTTTTTGGTTAACACCTTGGTGACCACAATGGGATTCACTGAGTGGAGTCTGGCCCTCAACCTGCAGAAATTTTCACATCAGTGTGCTAGAACCAGCTAGAGCTTTTTATCACTCTAACCAATTGTCTCATGTGTTGAGGTCTGGGAGTATCTTCTTCTAGAGATCCTTGATCTCCCACAAACTGTTGCTTGAGACCTGAATTTTCTTCTGCCATAGAGCACCTTTCTGGGAGTTTTTACTTACTTCCAACAGGGAAGGTGAGTTTCCTGCTTCCATAATGATGGAGAACAATTTTTAGCTTGAGCTCCACCTCCACGTAAGGAGCTGATGTAGGGCTTCATTTTGGAATTTGGTAGCTGAGGATCAAGGTTTATTGTCAGCTAGCTATAACTTCCCCTTATGCTTGGAGGTCTTGACCCTCTGTAAATTGTGTGATAACATTCTGTTTTGGGTTTCAATCTACCTTCCACTAGGTTTTACCAACTCTTGGCCCCCCCCCAAATGTTTACTGGAATTCCCACAGCTACAAAATGTCAATTTTCCCATCTAGAAACCCCAGCCAGTTAAGAAAAATCAATATGCAACCGAAAATATATTTCTTTGACACGTTTCTCTTTTGAGATGGAGTCTTGCTCTTGTCACCCAGGCTGGAGTGTAATGGGGTGATCTTGGCTTACTAAAACCTCCGCCTCCCGGGATCAAGCAATTCTCCTGCCTCAGCCTCCTGAGTAGCCAAGATTATAGGCACCCACTACCATGCCCAGCTAATTTTTGTATTTTTAGTAGAGACAGGGTTTCACCATGTTGGCCAGGCTGGTCTCGAATTCCTGACCTCAGGTGATCTGCTCACCTTGGCCTCCCAAAGTGCTGGCATTACAGGTGTGAGCCACCATGCCCAGCCTACAAGTTTTTCTTTTTTTGAGACGGAGTCTCACTCTGTCACCCAGGCTGGAGTGCAGTGGTGTGATCTCGGCTCACTGCAAGCTCCGCCTCCCGGGTTCACACCATTCTCCTGCCTCAGCCTCCCGAGTAGCTGGGAGGCACCGCCACGCCCAGCTAATTTTTTGTATTTTTAGCAGAGACAGGGTTTCACCATGTTAGCCAGGATGATCTCGATCTCCTGACCTCGTGATCCACCTGCCTCGGCTTCCCAAAGTGCTGGGATTACAGGCGTGAACCACTGCACCCTACACATTTTTGTTAATTGAGATGGAGTCTCACTCTGTTACTCAGGTTGGTGCAGTGGCGCCATCTGGGCTCACTGTAGCCTCTGCCTCCTGAGTTCCAGTGATCCTCCCGCCTCAGCCTCCCAACTTTGACACATTTTAATGTGCCTTACCAGAACTTCTCTTGTCTGAATCTAGGGAAGAGTAGAAAAGGATCTGACACTTTCTCTGAGGGCTATTACCTACGAGGTTTTCTTTGCATAACAAGGCCACCTTCCCAGCCTCTCTCTCTCTCTATGTGCTATTAGAATAAGTACTTCATTAGAAATTCTAATTGTCAATGACAAAAATTGTGGGAGCCTTTGAATTAAGACTTCTAAATTTAAAATTTTGGTGACCTTTTATTCTAAACAATTAATTAAAAGATCAAATGTTTTAAAGGACCCATAAAATGGTCATGTCTATCCTGAAAAGTTATCTTGACTAAATTAATAGCAAAAATATGACCAAACTCACTATGCCAAAATGAAAAGTTATGGTTGGAAACTGAGTCACGCAATACTGCCTTCAAATCATATAGCCGTAATTTCACAATGCCGTGTCATAACCTCATACAAAAGCCAGATTCCCAAAATGATATCTCCCCAGATGGCCTCCCTCATAAGTTTCTCACAAGGACATTCCTTACGAGTCCTGAAATATTTTAGGATACATATCCTCCTTCCCCACCATGAACCAGCCCTTAAAACCAAGTTCTGTTGAATCTCACTTACCCTGACAATGTCAATTTCCGGTTTATCTCGGCAGGCACAGGACAAGGACAAGACCAGGAAATTATCCCTCCACCTAATCAGAGTTAAATGCGTAATTGACTTTGCCTCTATTCTCTCTTTTCACATGTTTGCATTATCTTACGTAAAATGAAGATTTCTTTGTCACAATACAAATAAATAACTGACTTTTTCCTCTATGCCCTCTTTTCACAAGCAAAATGCAGATTTGCTGAGCACTTCTCAGAGCCTTGCAAGAATGTGACCATTTGCCTCACTATCTACACACTCTCCCTCTTCTCTCTCCTGCTTGCTCTTTCTCCTTTAAATTCTGAAGTTCCCAAAACCCTCTTTAGAAAAAGCACAGGTCACAGAGACTCCTGTGGCTGGTGTTTTTCCCAGATGTATTCTCAAACTTTGGCTAAAGGAAACTATTAATCAAGACTCCTGTCTCTGTCACTTTTTGGCTAACAAGAAGATAAAAGAAGACAGTATTTTTAAAAATAATAATGAAAAGGATTACATTACTGTTTGCTTTATTTTATTTTATTTTATTTTTTTATTTTACTTTTTTTTTTGAGATGGAGTCTCGCTGTGTCACCCAGGCTGGAGTGCAGTGGCCGGATCTCAACTCACTGCAAGCTCCGCCCCCCAGGTTTACGCCATTCTCCTGCCTCAGCCTCCCGAGTAGCTGGGACTACAGGCGCCCACCACCTCGCCTGGCTAGTTTTTTGTATTATTTTAGTAGAGATGGGGTTTCACCGTGTTCGCCAGGATGGTCTCGATCTCCTGACCTCGTGATCCACCCGTCTCAGCCTCACAAAGTGCTGGGATTAGCTTTATTTTATTTTATTTTGAGATGGAGTCTCACTGTGTTGGCCAGGCTGGAGTGCAGTGGTGCAATCTTGGCTCACTGTAACCTCCACCTCCCAGGTTCAAGTGATTCTCCTGCCCCGGCTTCCCAAGTAGCTGAGATTACAGGCATGAGCCACCATGCCCAGTTTATTTCTGTATTTTTAGTAGAGATGGGGTTTCACCATGTTGGCCGGGCTTGTCTCGAACTCCTGACCTCAAGTGATCCACCCACCTCAGCCTCCCCAAAGTGCTGGAATTACAAGTGTGAGCCACTGCACCCAGCCTATAATGAAATACTTTAAACACACAAGAGATTATGGAGAATGCTATAGGGAATGTCCAAGTATACACCACCTGGACGTAACAAATGCTTCTGTTATTTCTAACCATGATCTCTTGGAAGAGCTCTTTTGTCTTTCAATGTCTCTTTCCTGTTTGAGCCGCATCACCCTTCAATGTATGAAGGCTTAAGTGGCTTCTGTGGTGAGAATCTTACTCTGTGTCATACCCTGATTGACCGTGGAGCTAGCTCTGCTCTGTATTGCACAACTACAAGTATGGATGATGGAATGTCAGGATCAAAATCTGGATTTCTTGGTGTGGTTCCAGCTGCAGAATCAGACATGCGAGGTTTAGTCAGCTCTGTTTTCCCCTACACAGGCTATATGAGGGACAACAGCCCATGCTGGTCATCATGGATCCCGACATGATCAAAACAGTGCTAGTGAAAGAATGTTACTCTGTCTTCACAAACCGGATGGTAGGCCTATATTTTCAGATGTATTAATCAAATTTTTTATTTTTTAATAATTATATATTCATGGAAACTTGCCCAAAAAATGTACAGGAAAGTGCTTTGTGCTTCCTCCTGTTTCCCCCAATGGTGATGTCTTATTTAACTATAGATACAGTGTATTTCTGTCACTCTAGTAATAGAAAATTGACATTGACACAATCCACAGAACTTGTTCAGAGTTCCTGCTTTACGTGCCCTCATTTGTGTGGGTGTATGTGTGTGTGTGTGTAGCATTATGCGAATGTACCCATGTGTATAATTGCATGACTATCAGCACAATATATACAGATCTGTTCTATCACCAGGAGGCTCCCTGCTGGTATTCTCCTGTTGTTACAATGTGTAGCTTGTTTTTTCCTCTTTGCAGGGTCTATAGTAGAGAAAACTTTTTTTTTTATTTCGAGGAGGCCAATTTATCCATTTTTTTTTTTAATAGATTGTGCTTTTATTGTAAATTATTCTCCTAGTACACTTTGTCGCTGGTGTCTTTTCTAAAAGTTATGTGGTTCAAGGCAGGGCACGGTAGCTCATGCCTGTAATCCCAGCACTTTGGGAGGCCGAAGTGGGCAGATCACGAGGTCAGGAGATCAAGACCATCCTGGCCAACATAGTGAAAACTCATCTCCGCTAATAATACAAAAATTAGCCAGGCATGGTGGTGGGCACTTGTAGTTCCAGCTACTTGGGAGGCTGAGGCAGCAGAATCACTTGAACCCAGGATGCAGAGGTTGCAGTGAGCCAAGATTGCACCACTGCACTCCAGCCTGGCAACAGAGCAAGACTCAGTCTCAAAAAAAAAAAAAAAGTGATATGGTTTAATGCCTTACATTTAAGTTTATGATACATTTCGTGTTAATTTTTGCATAAGATATAAAGTTTAGGTCATAGTTCACTTTCTGTGGCCTGTGGCTGTGCAATTTTTCCAACACCATTTTTGGAAAGGTTACTTGCCTTCTTTGGGGTAACTTTTTCACAATTGTCAAAAATCAGTTGAGTATATTTCTATGCATCTCTTTTTTTTCTTTTTTTCTTTTTTTTTTTATTGAGACAGAGTCTCACTCTGTCACCCAGACTGAAGTGCAGCGGTGCAATCTCAGCTCACTGTAACCTCCGCCTCCTGGGTTCAAGTGATTCTTGTGCCTCAGTCTCCCAAGTAGCTGGGATCACAGCCAGGCACCATCATGCCTGGCTAATTTTTGTATTTTAGTAGAGATGCGGTTTTGCCATGTTGGCCAGGCGGGTCTCAAACTCCTGGCCTCAAGTGATTCGCCCACCTGGGCCTCCCAAAGTGCTGGGATTACAGATGTGAGCCACCGCACCTAACCTAAGCATCTATTTCTCATTCACTATTTTGTCCCATTGATCACTGTGTTTATTCCTCCACTGGTACCACATTGTGGTGACAATAGTAGCTCTATAGTAACCTTTTTTTTTTTTTTTTTTTGAGACGGAGTCTCGCTCAGTCGCCCAGGCTGGAGTGCAGTGGGCGATCTCGGCTCACTGCAAGCTCCGCCTCCCGGGTTCATGCCATTCTCCTGCCTCAGCCTCCCGAGTAGCTGGGACTACAGGCGCCCACCGCCACGCCCGGCTAATTTTTTGCATTTTTAGTAGAGATGGGGTTTCACTGTGTTAGCCAGGATGGTCTCGATCTCCTGACCTCGTGATCCACCCGCCTCGGCCTCCCAAAGTGCTGGGATTACAGGCATGAGCCACGGCACCCGGCCTGTACAGTAACTCTTAACATCACGTAGAGGGATTCCTCACATTTTATCTATTGTTTCAGAATTGTTTTAGTTCTTCTTTTTCTTTTTTCTTTTCTTTCTTTTTTTTTTTTTTTTTTTTTTTAAGACAAGGTCTTCCTCTGTCACCCAGGCTGGAGAGCAGTGGGGCGATCTTGGCTCACTATAGCCTCTGCCTCCCAGGTTCAAGCGATTCTCCTGCCTCAGTCTCCCAAGTAGTTGGGATTACAGGCGTGTGGCACCACGCCCAGCTAATTTTGGGTATTTTTAGTAGAGATGGGGTTTCGCCATGTTGGCCAGGCTGGTCTCAAACTCCTGACCGCAGGTGATCCGCCTGCCTCGGCCTCCCAAAGTGCGGGGACTACAGACATGAGCCACCACGCCTGGCCCCTTTTCCTTTCCATGCAAATTCAGAACAAGCTTGTCAATGTCTACAAACAAACCTGCTGAGATTTTGATAAGTATTGAATTAAACCTACAGGTCGGTTTAGGGAAAATCTGTATCTTTACTACGCTGAGTCTTTCAAAACGTGAACATAGTATCCCTCTCCATTTCTTTAGGTTTTCTTTTATTCCTTTCATCAACATTTTGTAATTTCTAGCATAGAGATTCTGTACATGTTTTGTTAGATTCACACCTGAAGTATTTCATTTTCACTGACATGTAAGCAATTTTTTTACTGTATTTTCAGATAGTCATTGTTATTGTGTAGAAATAACAATGCATGAAAAAAACAATTGAGTGATTGATTTTTGCATGTTGAGCTTGTGTTCTACACCCTTGCTGAACTCACCTTTTAGCTCTAGAAGTCTTTTTGCATATTCCTAGAGAGGTTCTACATTGACCTTTATGTCACCTGAAAATAGAGGCCCTTCTATTTCTTCCTATCCAATCAGTATGCCTTTAATTTTTTTCTTGTCTATTGCACTGAGACATCCAATATGATGTTGAATAAGAATGGCGAGAGTGGATATTTTGTATTGTTTCTGATCTTGGAGAAAAGCATTCATTTTTTCACCATTAAGTGTGATTTAGCTGAAGGGTTTTTTGTATATTTTTTTTTCTTGTTTTCCAGAATATCAAATTGAGGGTATTTCTCTTTCTTCCTAGTTTGCCAAGTTTTATCATAAATAAGCATTGAAATTCTCCATTTTAAAATACAGTTTGGGAAGATGGAAGAATATTTCAAGTTATTGGACTGATAGGCCTGTCGCAAGTTGGAAAATAGCATTATTTTCCTTATTTTTCCTCTAATCCTGGGAGGGGAAATAAAAGAAAGGGACTTTTCATGTAATTGCATGGTTTCTTCAAAGTGCATTCTTAGTCTTTTACTTATTACTAATTTTTTTTCAAAAGTCACTAAATCAAACCACTCCTCTGTCAAGTTTCTCATGCTATAGATGTATTAAAGACAGAGCTGCTCTGAGGCAACATGCAGTCTGCCAACCTGCCTCTCTGTCACCAATCCCTTTCTGCTTTGCACAACCCTGGAGGAGATGCTAGGCCTTGTTCCCATCTATTCTACTGGAAGAACTGGTTCTCTTCCATGTGGAAACTATGCATTTAAAAGGAGACTGGGATATAGTGACTAGAAACCACACCACTTTGCCTCAATTCCACCATCCCCCTTCCATATGCTTACAGGAGGCTACGCATTCAAGATAAATCTTTATTGAGCATCTAGTATAGGGCCTGCCACCCAGTAGACAGTTACTAAGTATTTGTTAAATTCATGATGTCTGTTTAACACATTTTCTACAACCATGGAGATCTCTAAAACTTATGTAGGACAAAATGCTTCTGCTTTGAACTCTAGCCTTTAGGTCCAATGGGATTTATGAAAAGTGCCTTAAGTTTTGCTGAAGATGAAGAATGGAAGAGAATACGAACATTGCTATCTCCAGCTTTCACCAGTGTAAAATTCAAGGAAGTAAGAAAATAAGGTGACTTATAATTAGAAACTTAAAGGATGAATCTGGAGACAGGTAGTAAGTATCATCATAGTTCCTTTCTAATGGGTAGTCCACGGAGTTTGAGTTTTCTAAAAAGGGTCTTTTCAGCTGGGCACGGTGGCTCACGCCTGTAATCCCAGCACTTTGGGAGGCTGAGGTGGGTGGATCACCTGAGGTCAGGAGATTGAGACCAGCCTGGCCAACATGGTGAAACCCCATCTCTACTAAAAATACAAAAATTAGCCAGGCGTGGTGGTGGATGCCTGTAATCCCAGCTGCTCAGGAGGCTAAGGCAGAAGAATTGCTTGAACCTGGAGGCGGAGGTTGCAGTGAGCCAACATCGTGCCATTGCACTCCAGCCTGGGCAACAAGAGCAAAACTCTGTCTCAAAAAAAAAAGGAGGGCGGGGGGTGGTCTTTTCTATTTATGTCCTAGAGGACGTGGTCAGTCATATTACAAAATATCATTGACTGTTCCATGCTGGGCAAAGCCATGTCCTTCTGAGATTCGAGTCTGCATAGTTAACTCTGGGTGGTGTTGTGTTTTAGATGGTCCCCATCATTTCCCAGTGTGGAGATATGTTGGTGAGAAGCCTGAGGCGGGAAGCAGAGAACAGCAAGCCCACCAACTTGAAAGAGTAAGTAGCACAGTCTTGAGCTTCTGAGCTGTCATGAGCCCCTCCAGCTGCCTGCAGTGGAGCTGATATTCTCACTGTTGGGTTACTCCAGCGGCCGGACAAAAGCAGGGCTGTGGTGTTGCAGCTCCAATAGGCCACCCAAGATGGTGTTGCTCAGAAAAGAAAGCTAGGAAGCTGAGAGAAAAGGATCTTCCCCCCTGTGCACAGGAGCCAGGAATAACTTACCTGTTACATTGTCCCCTTGGATGTTCCAAAAGAATAATACATTGTGTAGTAGAAAGAAAAAATAAAAACCTGATTGTACTGAAGTTTTGAGCATAGAGGTTATGGAGTGGTGGGAGGGGTACGTGTTTGAGAGCTGTTGGCTGGCAGTGACTGGGGCAGGAAAGTTACAATGAAGAAATTGGAATAACTTCAATCCCTTCATTATTTTGCTGAGGATACCACCAAAATATGAACTGTTAAACCTTCCCACTACTTCTAATTTCTCCAATCTTAAATTTTAAAAGACTCTGTAATGGCTATAGGTAGGGCAATGCTATTTTTGTTTATTGTCTGAACTGGAACATAATTTAAATTATGCTGGAACAACACTTGTAAACTCAGCCTGGGCAGACTGAGGACACGTGGCCACTCGGCTATGGGATACCCCGATCAACTTTGGAGTGATCTATTATTCCTTTAATCAGTATCACTGTTAGTTCTTTCTTTTACAAAAAACAATCTGCCCTCAGAGCAACCTCAGATCCCAGGAGCCGGGGAAGAGTAGGTGTTTCAGGAGCCTTATCAGAGAGTGTAGCGGAGACATGATGTTCATTGCAAGTCTGAACAGGGTGTGGCTGTTCTGTAAAGTGCTGAAGAGACATCAGCTCTGGGCGTAGACTCTGGGGTCTGCCAATGTCAAATGTATTGATTGGCTGAGAAAGAGTTAATGATTTTATTCTTGTCCTGCAGAAGCACAGTGTTGACGCACCTTTTACCATCCACACTCAACACAGACGACTGTAATTGTCTGATTATTGGGTCTGTGTCTCCCTAGGACTGAGGTCCTTGAGCTCAGAGGTGGGTCTAACTCACCTTAGTGTCTCCATCACTCCCAGGACAGGGCCAGCTGCATCACTGGTACCCAATAAATGCCTCCTGAGGTGATGGGAGATGATGCAGCAGGTTGCTGTGAATGTGTGTGGGTTTTCACCTGTCTTGCTCTGACATAGCACTTCTTGCTGTGTGTATAGCAGAAGGAAGGTAAAGAGGTGCTGGTTTTAACTTTCCATGTCTTACTCTACTCAGTTTCTTTGGGGCCTACACCATGGATGTAATCACTGGCACATTGTTTGGAGTGAACTTGGATTCCCTCAACAACCCACAAGATCCCTTTCTGAAAAATATGAAGAAGCTTTTAAAATTGGATTTTTTGGATCCCTTTTTACTCTCGATATGTACGTGGACTTTTATGTTACTTCTCTCTCTCTCTCTCATCTAATTTTTAAAATCAGCTTTATTGAAAACAAAATTCACATACCATATAATTCACCTACTTAAAATGTATAGTTCAATGGTTTTTGATACATTTAAAGATATGCACAACCATCACCGTTGTTAACTTCTGAACATTTTTGTAAACTTCTGAACATTTTTTGTAAACTCAGAAGCTACACACCATTTAACCATCATCCCCTTCCAATCTTCCTCACCTTTTCTTTTTTTTTTTTTTTCCAGACAGAGTCTCGCTCTGTCACCAGGCTGAAATGCAGTGGTGCGATCTGGGCTCACTGAAACCTCCACCTCCCGGGTCCAAGTGATTCTCCTGCCTCAGCCTCCTGAGTAGCTGGGATTACAGGTGCACACCACCACGCCCAGCTAATTTTCACATTTTTAGTAGAGACAGGGTTTTGTCATGCTGGTCAGGCTGGTCTCGAACTCCTAACCTCGTGATCTGCCCGCCTCAGCCTCCCAAAGTACTGGGATTACAGGTGTGAGCCACCGCGCCTGGCCTTTTTTTTTTTTTTTTTAACAGAGTCTCGCTCTGTCGCCAGGCTGGAGTTCAGTGGCATGATCTTGACTCGCTGCAACCTCCGCCTTCCAAGTTCAAGCAATTTTTGTGCCTCAGCCTCCCAAGTAGCTGGGATTACAGGCATGTGCCACCACACCCAATTAATTTTTGTATTTTTAGTACAGACAGGGTTTCTCCATGTTGGCCAGGATGGTCTCGATCTCTTGACCTCGTGATCTGCCTGCTTCAGCCTCCCAAAGTGCTGGAATTACAGGCGTGAGCCACCCTGCCCTGCCTTCCTCACCTTTTTTATGTTGCCCAGGCCAGTCTTGAACTCCTGACCTCAAGCCATCTTGCTGCCTTGGCTTCCCAAAGTTCTGGGATTACAGGAGTGAGCAACTGCACACAGCCCCAAAACCCCCCTCAGCTTTAAGCAACCACTAATCTACTTTCTGTCTCTAGATTTCTGTCCTAATCTAGGGCATATCATATAAATTGAATCATATAATATGTGGTCTTTTGTGACTGGCTCCTTTCATTTAGCATTACATTTTCAAAGTTAATTCATGTTGAAATATGGATCAGCGCTTCATTTCTATTAATGACCAAGTAATATTCCATTGTATAGATATGCTGCATTTTGCTTTTCCATTCATAGTTGGTGGACATTTGCGTTGTTTCTACCTTTCAACTATTGTGCATAGTGCTGCTGTGAATAATTGTTTACAAATTTATGTTTGAATACTTGATTTTTCTTCTTTTAGGTATATATTCAGCAGTGGAATTGGTGGGTTTTATAGTAGTAACTCTATGTTTCACTTGTTAAGGAGTTTCTAAACTGTTTCCCACAACAGCTGCACCATTTTACCAGGAATGCATAAGCATTCTAATTTCTCTACATTCTTACCAACACTTGGTTTTCTCATTTTTTAAAATTATAGACACCCTACTACATGTGAACTGGTCTCATTGTGATTTTGATTTACTTTTCTCTAATGGCTAATGAAATTGAGCAACATTGGCCATCTTTATATCTTCTTTAGATAAATGTCTGTTGAAGTCTTTTGCCCATATACAGCTGAATTCTTTTTGTTAATTTGTAAGAGCTCTTTACATATTCTACATACAACTTCCTTCTCAGGGATATGATTTGCAAAATTGTTCTCCCATTCTCTACGTGTCTTTTTACTTTACTTTCTTGATATTGTTCTTTGAACTTTATCTTCTTTGAACTGTGTCTTTTTTTTTTTTTTTTTTTTTTTTGAGATGGAGTCTCGCTCTGTCGCCCAGGCTGGAGTGCAGTGGCCGGATCTCAGCTCACTGCAAGCTCCGCCTCCCGGGTTTACCCCATTCTCCTGTCTCAGCTACAGGCGCCTGCCACCTCCCCAGCTAGTTTTTTGTATTTTTTAGTAGAGACGGGGTTTCACCGGGTTAGCCAGGATGGTCTCGATTTCCTGACCTCGTGATCCGCCTGCCTCCCAAAGTGCTGGGATTACAGGCTTGAGCCATCGCGCCCAGCCTGAACTGTGTCTTCTTTGAACTTCTTTGAACTTTAATTTTGATGATGCACGATTTGTGTATTTTTCTTTTATTGCTTTTCCTGTAGGTATCAAATCTAAGAATCTATTGCCAATTGTGAGGTCATGGAAGACTTGCCCCCTTGGTTTTCTTTTAAGGGTGGTATAGTTTTAGCTCTTCTGTTTAGGTCTTCGATGCATCTTGAGTTTCATTTTATATGCAGTGTGAGGTAAGGGCCCAGCTTTGTTCTTACACTTGGCTATCCCGTTGTCCCAGCACCATTTGTTGAAAAGACGATTTTGTCCCCATTCAATGATCATGACACCTTCCTCAAAATTCAGTGGACCAGAGACGTGTGGATTTATTTTGGACTGTAAATTCTATTCTGTTGAACTATACTTCTATCTTTATGCCAATATCACATCGTCCTGATTATTAGAGCTTTGTGGTAAGTTTTGAAATTGGGAAGTATGAGTCCTGCAACTTGATTCTTTTTCAACATTGTTCTGGCTACTCTGCATCCCTTGCAATTCCAAATCAATTTTAAAATCAACTTGTCAATTTCTACACAGAATCTAGCTAGGATTCTGATAATACATTAAATCTGCAGATCCATTTGAGAAGTATTGCCATTTTGAACTTTTAAGTTTTCTAATCTGTGAACATGGGGTGGTGGTTCCTTTTATTCAGATACTCTTTCATTTATTTATTTATTTTTTTAATTTTTTTTTTTTGAGAAGGAATCTCACTCTGTCACCCAGGCTGGAGTACAGTGGCGTGATCTCGGCTCACTGCAAGCTCTGCCTCCCGGGTTCACACCATTCTCCTGCCTCAGCCTCGTGAGTAGCTGGGACTACAGGTGCCCGCCACCACGGCCAGCTAATTTTTTGTATTTTTAATACAGACAGGGTTTCACCATATTAGCCAGGATGGTCTCGATCTCCTGACCTCATGATCCACCTGCCTCGGCCTCCCAAAGTGCTGGGATTACAGGCGTGAGCCACCACACCCGGCCTCTTTCATTTATTTCAACAGTGTTTTGTATTTTTCAGAGTCTAGGTTTTGCACTTTTGTTAATGTTATTCCTAATAAGTGTATCACTAATATTTTGATGCTATGGTAAATACAATTTTTTAATTCCACTTTTGGATTGTATGTTGTAATGTACAGAAATACAGTTTATTTCTGTATACTGACCTTGTATCTTCAAATATTTCTGAACACATTTATTAGTTTTAATAGGTAAATGGAAGTGCTGAGAGAGGGTCTCATTCATGATCTTAGGGGGAAAGGTATTAAGTATGGTTAGCTATGGGTTTCATAGATGCCCTTTATCAGGTGGAAGAATTCTCTTCTGTGTTTAGTTGTTGAGTGTTTTTATCACAAAAGGCTTTTGGATTTTTGTCAAATGCTTTTACTGTACATACTGAGACAACTGTGTGTTTTCATTGAATTGACAAGGTATATTACACAATCTTGTTTCCCTGGGGTAAACCCCTCTTGGTTATGGTATATAATTATTTTTATATGTTGCTAGATTGATCCAGTTTGCTAGTATTTTGTTAAGGATTTGTGCATTTATATTTACAAGATCTGTTAGTCTGTAGTTTCTTTATCCTGTGATATATTTGTCCAGTTTTAATATGATGGTAATACTGGCCTTACAGAATGAATTTGGAAATGTTTGCTCATTTCCTAGTTTTTGAAAGTGTTTGTAGAATGGGTATTAATTCTCCTTTAAATATTAGGTAGAATTCATTATTGGAGCTATCTGGCCTGGCCTTTTCTTTGTGGGTAGTTTTGATTACTGATTCAATCCCTTTACATGTTATAGATCTATTCAGATTGTCTGTTTCTTTCCAATTCAGTTTCTGTAGTGTGTGTCTTTCAAAGAATTTGTCCATTTTACCTGTTATCTAATTTATGCAATTGTTCTAATAATAGAATTGTTAAGAGAATATCTTTATACTACTTTTTATTTTTCTTAAATGTCAGTAGTAATTATTTCCCCTCTTTTACTTCTGAGACTAGTAAACTGAGTCATCTCTTTTTATTTCTTCATCAGTGTAGCTAAAGATTTGCCAATTCTGATGATATTTTCTCTTTTGTGGTAACATTTGAGCTTTCTTTTGAGATGGAGTTTTGCTCTTGTTGCTCAGGCTGGAGTGCAATGGCACAATCTTGGCTCACTGCAACCTCCACCTCCTGGGGTCAAGCGATTCTCCTGCCTCAGCCTCCCGAGTAACTGGGACTACAGGCATGCACTACCACGCCTGGCTAATTTTTGTGTTTTTAGTAAAGACAGGGTTTTTACTGTTGGTCAAGCTGGTCTCGAATTCCTGACCTCAGGTGATCCAACTGCCTTGGCCTCCCAAAGTGCTGGGATTATAGGCATGAGCCACCACGCCCGGCCTTGAGCTTTATTTTTGAAGCTAATTTTTTATTCTTAACCTTTGTGGATACATAGTTGGTGTATATATTTATGGGGTACATGAGATGGTTTCGATACAGACATGAAATGTGAAATAAGAGCATTATGAAGAATGGGGAATCCATCATCTCAAGCATTTATCCATTGAGTTGCAAACATTCCAATTGCACTCTAAGTGATTTTCAAATGTACAGTTATTATTGACTATAGTCACTCTGTTGTGCTATTGAATCATAGGTCTTATTAATTTTTTCTAACTATTTTTTGTAGCCTTTTATTATCCTTACCTCCCCCACCCCTACTACCCTTCCCAGACTCTGGTCACCATCCTTCTACTCTCTATGTCCATGAGTTTTGAGTTTTGAGTTTTTTTTTTTTGAGACGGAGTCTCAAAAAAGTTGCATGATCTAGGCTCACTGCAACCTCTGCCTCTCAGGTTTAAGCAATCCTCCTGCCTCACCCTCCTGAGTAGCTGGGATTATGGGTGTCCACCACCTTGCCCAGCTAATTTTTGCATTTTTAGTAGGGACGGAGTTTCACCATGTTGGCCAGGCTGGTCTAACTCCTCACCTCAGGTGATCCGCCTGCCTCGGCCTCCCAAAGTGCTAGGATTACAGGCTTGAGCCACCGTGCCCGGCTGATGACTCATGGAACCAATTTTTGGTTTCATTGCTTTTCTTTATTGCTTTTAAATCTCTATTTCATTAGGTTACACTTCAGTTTTTATTAATTTCCCCCTTTCTGCTGACTTTAGTTTTAGTTTACTCTTCATTTTTCAGTGTGCTATGGTATACATTTAGGTTATTGATTTGAGATTATACATTTAGGTTATTGATTTGAGATTATCTGACATTCACAGCTATAAATTTCCCTCTGAACATTGCTTTGGCTACATCCCATACGCTTTGGCATATCATGGCTTCATTTTTCTTCATCGCAAAACAATTTCTAATTGTCCTTTTGCTTTCTACTTGAGCTCATGGTTACTTAAAAGTATATTGTTTAACTTCCACATATGTGTGAGTTTTCCAATTCTCTTTTCTCTCTCTCTTTTTTTTTTTTTTTTTGTCATTTTTTTTTGAGAGAGACAGTTTCATTCTGTCACTGAGGCTGGAGTACAGTGGTGCAATCTCAGCTCACTGCAACTTCCACCTCCCCAGTTCAAGCGATTCTCATGCCTGAGTCCCGAGTACCTGGGACTACAGGCACATGCCACCACACCCGGCTAATTTTTGTATCATTAGTAGAGATGGGGTTTCGCCATGTTGGTCAGGCTGGTCTTGAACTCCTGACCTCAAGCAATCTGTCTGCCTCAGCCTCCCAAAGGGCAATTCTCTTTCTCTTGTTGATTTCTAGTTTCATTCCATGGTAGTTGAAGGACATTTGCCATATTGTTTCTATCCTGACTACTATTTAATGGAAAAACATGATTAATTAAAGCAGCAGGCTATGATCTGGGCTATCCAAAGAGACTCTAGTCCAGTAGATAAAGGCTAAGAAGTCAGGGAATTTAATTCTGTTCCTTTGGTCACTCTGAAGATGCAGAAGGGACCACTGATCTCAGTGCTATAGTGGAGGCCGCCATGTGTGGATCTGCTCTTGCTCAGCCATTGGCCTGGAAGAGGGGCAAAGGTCATACAGGAAATGGATCCTGGTTGAGAACCCTGAGGTCTATAGGTAGAGAAAATTGTAACTGCTGTAGGTAAATTTCACATTTTTCACAATGATTTCTTTTTTCTTTTTCTTTTTAATTTTCCTATAGCACTCTTTCCATTTCTTACCCCAGTTTTTGAAGTCCTAAATATCGGTTTGTTTCCAAAAGATGTTACCCGTTTTTTAAAAAATTCCATTGAAAGGATGAAAGAAAGTCGTCTCAAAGATAAACAAAAGGTAAAATCTGGTGGTGGTGACATGAGAATGTTCACTTTTTTGTTATGTTTTTGGGCTGTTTACGTATGATCTGTGCACTTATCTGTGTTTTTTAAAGGCTGATAGAGAACTTTAGAGCAAGAGGGTTTTTACATTTTGCTGCGAATAAAGAAGGTGAAGCTTGGGGAAGAAAGAGAATGAGTGAAACAGCATTTGGAATTTAATAATAGGCAAGACTTTAGTATATTATGGCATAAATAATGTAGAGATAGAAGCTTTACCATTTCTCTTCCTTTCAGTAAATTGTCAATAAATTTGACTGTATAAAATTGCCAATAAATCTGACTGGATAAAAATGGCTGCATAAAATTATTTTATGGGTATTACAGTTTCCTCAGTTCTTAGATTAGTAAGGAATCATTTCAAGTCCAAGTCTGCTGTTTTTACACTTTCTTTAGCAGAAGTTCCTACCAGGCTACCTGCTGAAGTAAGTGTATGTTAAATTTCAGTCCTGTCATAGCCTGGACTGGGCAGGTGTCTTCTCTGGGCATTGTGGGTGCAAGTTGACTGACCCAACTTTGCCTTCATGAGCCCTGGAGACCAGCCCAATGATGATGCCTCAAAGTCAGGAATGCAGGACTGGGTCCCCTAGGTGACAGTGAACATTGTATAGAGTTCTAGGAGTGGGGAGTACTTGAAGATGCATTCAAAACAGCTCCCCTTGGATTATCCTGAGATTAATCTATTTGTCCATTGGTTAAGAATAAAGGCAGGAGAACAAATAGGATTGAAATACAGGACTTCTTCCTGTTCAAGAAGTTATGACTAGAGAATGAGCTGACAACTCTTTGGCCAGGAAGCTGTGTCCAAAGGTCAGAGAAGCTGGGGATCAGGGAGAGCAAAGACAAAAAAGTAGACAGACACGACAAATGGATTTCTCTCAAGGAAACATCCTGCTGTCCAAGGTTTTAGATGCGTGATTTTATTCTAAACATTGGTGACTCAGGCAACACCCATTACACTTCTGAACTTAAAGGCAGCATATTCTCAGGAGGGGTGCTTAGGACTGGACTCCTGATTCACTTCTGACATCACAAGTGACTTTCTGTCATTAAAATTTCTCTTTTTGCTTCCAGCACCGAGTGGATTTCTTTCAACAGATGATTGACTCCCAGAATTCCAAAGAAACAAAGTCCCATAAAGGTAACCAAGGACTGTATCCAGGGGCTATTGATGGGGACAGTTGGAGAGAAGGCCCTGTTCTGAAAATATGCAGAAAGTTTTCCAGGAAAATGAGAATTTCTCCGACATTCCAGAAAGGCACACATTTGGATGTTATAAACAATAGCTGGAGGCACTTTCTAGAAGCACACAGGCATAGCCACATCCCAGGCTTGAAGGGCAACCCTGAACAAGTGTGGCATGCCTGGAGGTCCGTCCGTGATCTGTGGATCACCCGCATCAGATCAAATGCCAGTTCTCAGCCTCCTCCAGATCCACTTACTCAGAACCTCTGCTTGGAAACATACATCTAACATCCAATCAGGAGACACACTGTCCAAATAAGGGTGATTTTAACTGGAAACACTTGGTGAAAGTGTGTTCACCAGGCTAATCTACTGACGGGTTTTATTTTTCCCCTATGTAATGAAAAGTAACTGTGGGAAAACCTCTAAGACTGTGTAGTGCCCTTTTCCTCTTCAATTTTTCACCTACTAGTTTCACCACCCATGGGCGGTTTTGACTGAAACCATCATTACTATGATGGTTGCAAAATAATGACCATGATCGATTTCAAGCCACCAAGGTTTGACAACCATATGACATAATTGTGAATATTAACAATTAATTCTAAAGAGCAAGAAATGGAGGCGGGGCACAGTGGCTCACATCTGTAATCTCAGCACTTTGGGAGGCCAAGGCAGGTGGATCACCTGAGGTCAGGAGTTCGAGACCAGCCTGGCCAACAAGGCGAAACTCTATCTCTACTAAAAATACAAAAACTAACCGGGTGTGGTGGCACACACCTGTAATCCCAGCTACTTGGGAGGCTGAGGTGGGAGAATCGCTTGAACCTGGGAGGCAGAGGTTGCAGTGAGCCAAGATCACACCACCGCACTCCAGCCTGGGCAACAGAGTGAGACTCTGTCTCAAAAATAATACTAAATAAATAAAATAAGTAAAAATAAAGAGCAGGAAATAGTTAACTCAAACACACCATTGTAAATATATCTATGTCGTCATCTACTTGTCTATCTATGTGTCGTGTATCATCTGTCCATCTGTCCCAATACAACTTTGTGTGAAAAGGGAAATAGTCTATCGTTTCGTTGCTCAATACAGACATCACTAGATACATGTGGCTATTGAGTACTGAACATGTAGCTGCTGCCACTGAAGAACAATTTTTAAATATATCTAATTTTAATTAATTAAATTTAAGTAGCCACCTGAGGCTAGTTCCTATCCTACTGGGTAGCAGATCTACACTTTGAGATTATGATTTCATTTCAATTCCGTGTCCTGGGGTTCATGCCAACTGAAGAAGATAATTGGAAAGTTGAATTTACCCACAACATCATCACGAAAATTATCACCAGTAAATCACAACTCTGTAGACCTTTCTCACACTCATCTTGTATTGTTTTCAGTTATGAAATACATGGTTGGAGTGGGCACCGTATTTATTTTAGTACCCTAGGTCTCTAAAGGTCTTAATCCAGTCCTGATCAAACAGACCAATGACTGACTGTGCTAAGCTTTTCTCAAAAGAAATATCAAGAGGGAGGCCAACCTGTGGTCATAAACGCTGTTCAGTGAACATGAAGTGGAGCAAAGAGAATCGGGCCAGGATGGAATTGGCACTATGAATTCCACTCCTGGGACCCTACTGTTTTTATATTCATGTTGGTCAATGCCCATCTATAAATGCATTCTTCCTGCTATGGTAGTAGTAGTAGTAGTAGTAGTAGTAGTAGTAGTAGCAGTAGTAGTAGTAGTAGTAGTAGTAGTATTTGAGATGGAGTCTCACTTTGTGGCCCAGGCTGGAGTGAAGTGGCCTGATCTTGGCTCACTGCAACCTCTACCTCCCGAGTTCAAGCAATTCTCCTGCCTCAGCCTCCCGGGTAGCTGGGACTACAGGCGCCCACCACCACACCCAGTTGTGGATTTTTTTGTATTTTTAGTAGAGGTGGGGTTTCACCATGTTGGCCAGGTCTCAAACTCCTGACCTCAAATGATCCTCCTGTCTCAGCCTCCCAAAGTGCTGGGATTAAAGGCTTGCGCCACTGTGCCAAGCCTCCTGCTGTTTTATTAAAACCATTCACTGGACTACAGTCAATCACCTCACTTCTAGATTTTTGTCTTTGTAGCTTTGGTATATCCAGAGATCATCCATTTTGAAGACTGGTGCCCTAGGAACTCTATTACTTGATGTCACTCAAAGGTGTAATCCATGCTTCTCAAGCCATGCTGGGCACAAAAATTACCACACCTCATGAAAGTTCAGATTTTGATTCTGCAGTTTGAGGGTAGGGTTTGAGATTTTGCATTTCTAATAAGCTCCCTGATGCTGCTGGTGCTGCTGGTCCATGGACCACTTTGAGTGGCAAGAGGTGATCTGTAGCCCAATCTTCTTCCCTTGGGTTCCCTCAAACATGCTTAGAGAAAAGATCCTTTATATTTCCCTAAAATTAAACCTTAGCATTGCAAACTCTCTCATTGTTTGTCAAGCTATATTGTAGCTAGAGTAATTTAAACCTTCCCTGGGGAGAATGTTACCCCATGTTTACTTACAGATAAAGTACTTTTATGATTATCCAAGGGATATCCCCATAACACTGAGTATGTTAGACAGAAATGCTCTTTCTGAAAGTTACCCAGCTGTGCAACTGGTGGCGATGATATGATGAGGAGTGAATGGCCCACAATCGTGCAGACCCTGGAAAAAAACTGGATTAAAATGATTTTGCCTTGTTCTAGCTCTGTAGGATACACATCAGAGTGAAACCACCCCCAGTGTGACTGAATTGCTTTTCTATTGTTGCCCCTAGGGATTTGGGAGCTTCACTGGGATTTCGCTTCCTCTAAACTGTGATGATCTACATTGGCTGCTTTTCCTAAAATATCTTTCCTCTCCTTTCAGCTCTGTCTGATCTGGAGCTTGTGGCCCAGTCAATTATCATTATTTTTGCTGCCTATGACACAACTAGCACCACTCTCCCCTTCATTATGTATGAACTGGCCACTCACCCTGATGTCCAGCAGAAACTGCAGGAGGAGATTGACGCAGTTTTCCCCATTAAGGTGAGTGGACGATCCCTGGAGAAGGAGGGAAGAAGTGAAGCCTCAGCAAAATCCCTCCTCACCATTTGCCAGGAGAATTTTTTCAAAAAGTGTAAGCATCAGTTCTTTCATATACACTACACATAAAGGCTCTAACGAGGAAAAACAAAGGGTAAAACGTAGGTAGTGGATGTTTCTTGCAGAAGATCTTTGTAAAACGGTGCTGATCCTGCTGCATCCATTATCTGTTACCAACATAACACCAAGTAAAAAATATCCAGAAACCTCAATGGCATCTAAAAACAACCATTCATTGCTCACAAGTCTGGATAGTGAGTTCTGCTGATACTGGCCGGACTCACTCTGTTCTGGCTGTTGGTCTGATGGAGCCTGGCACTGGGAGCGCTGAGCAGGCTGACTCAGCTCTGCCTCACACCTCTCTCATGCTCCAGTCCAGTAGCTAGTGGTGAAGAAGCCAAGCTAGGAACCAGGGTGCCTGACACCTGGGCCGAACACTTACCCTCTACAATATTACCTTCCAAATATAACACCAAATGCTAGTCACGTATTACCCACACTGTTTTCAGAATTCTGCCAGAATTGGAATTCTTTGTGGTGTAATGAGACCTGGCCTTGGGGCTGGCCCTGGTTTGGCAGTGAGGTGAACACAAAGGAATGTTCATCTAAGCTCCTAGTCCAGGCCTAAAGGAACAAGTGGGAGACTGTTCGAGAAAGAGAGGATGGGGCTGCATGGAGGATTCCTATCCTGTTTATAACTCTCAATAGCACTGAAATTGTGTGCCCTCTCCAGTTATAAAGTTCTTTTGTCGGCCAGGCACGGTTATTCACGCCTGTAATCTCAGCACTTCGGGAGGCCAAGGCGGGCAGGTCACAAGGTCAGGAGATCAAGACCATCCTGGCTAACACAGTGAAACCCCGTCTCTACTAAAAAAGACAAAAAAATTAGCCGGGTGTGGTGGCGGGTGCCTGTAATCCCAGCTACTCAGGAGGCTGAGGCAGGAGAATGGTGTGAACCCAGGAGGTGGAGATTGCAGTGAGCCGAGATCACACCACTGCACTCCAGCTTGAGCAACAGAGCAAGACTCCGTCTCAAAAAAAAAAAAAAGTTCTTTTGTCATATTTGGGTGACAAAGGAACTAGTTTATTCCCAACCTATTTATAAAGTTTTTATATAACACAGTGTTACTCTCCACATTTTTTTTGGGGGGGGGAGGGAGTCTTGCTTCGTCACCCAGGGTGTAGAGCAGTATGGTGATCTTGGCTCACTGCAACTTTTGCCTCCAGGGTTCAAGTAATTCTCGTGCCTCAGCCACCCGAGTAACTGGGATTACAGGCGTGTGCTACTATGCCCGGCTAATTTTTATATTTTTAGTGGAGACAGGGTTTCACCATGTTGGCCAGGCTGGTCTCAAACTCCTGACCTCAAGTGATCCACCCACCTCGGCCTCCCAAAGTGTTGGAATTACAGGTATGAGTCACTATGCCCAGTCTAAACAGGACTTTTCAATTTTAAATGCTTGTATGAAATAGAGGATTTGCTTTTTTACATTTTCTCTTTCCTTGGTACAGATGCATAGCCTCTCTTTGGAAAGGTGACACTGGCTTTGGTATATTTTAGGTGATTCAAATGGCCATTGTCTAATAGTCATGCTTGTTCACCCAAGAAGGAAAACACATGAAATGGTAACATCAAGGATTTTAGTCTCTGTGTAGGGGATTGTGCCAAATTCATAACTCCTCCACACATCTCAATGGGCCATTGAGCACATTGCTGCGTATGGACAGTTATTAAAATAGTTTATAAATGCAACATTCTTTTACCAGTACGAGTTATCCTCTGGAGCTCCTAACACTTCAATAGTACTGCATGAACTAAGTTGAAAGTTAATTCCAAATCTCAATTTATCCAAATCTGTTTCTTTCTTCCCAGGCACCTGTCACCTACGATGCCCTGGTACAGATGGAGTACCTTGACATAGTGGTGAATGAAACGCTCAGATTATTCCCAGTTGTTAGTAGAGTTACAAGAGTCTGCAAAAAAGATATTGAAATCAATGGGGTGTTCATTCCCAAAGGGTTAGCAGTCATGGTTCCAATCTACGCTCTTCACCATGACCCAAAGTACTGGACAGAGCCTGAGAAGTTCTGCCCTGAAAGGTACAAGGCCCCTGGGAAGGGAGGCCTCCCTCAACTAGCCTGGTGCAAGTATATTCTGCCTCTCTCAATGCACATAGCAATCATTTGAATATGTGCTTTTTTATTTTGGAAGTTTTTTATTACAAAATGATAACTGTCAAACTTTACAAACCATAGATTCGGAAACACCTTATAACAACCCTCATTAACTATGTAATGCATGTCTTATAGGCATTTTTCTATGCATACAGACATTTTTAAAAACTAGTACACTATCACATTTTATTTGAGTTTGAACTACTGCTTACTTCATTTCAAAGTAAACCATAACCTATCTACTATCTTATGTTACTACATATTTATGTATGCATAAGCTGTAATTCATTTCACCATAACATTATTTTGAGTATATAAGCTTGTTACTCATTTCAGTTTTCTTTGCTGTGCCCTTTAGCTCTCTGAATTTAGCACCATGTTTAGGACATGTTTCCACATCCCTTTTTTTTTCAACATTGCTTGCAATTTTCCGTAATGTAATTGTGAAAGTGCAGGCTGAGGTCCTGAGACATCCTCATCCCTGATGGTTTAAGCCACTTCACTGAGGACAGAGGGAAGCAGAGGTTCTCCTGGTCCTGTCTGTGTCTGCAGTCCTGTGCCAGCTCCCTTATACTCTCAGTTGTTGGTGACTCTTCCAAAGCAAAGTCACCTGCTTTCTAGACTTCTCAGAAGTTCCTCCTTGGAAGTGTTGGGCATGATCTTCTGGGAATTCAGAGTCAAGGTCAGGCTTTGGGCACAGTTTGAGCTCTGGAAATAGTTGATATTTTCCCATTTTGGAAAGAAAAATTTGGAATGAACTTTGTAGGGTACTGGTTGGTGAGGCCTGGGATCTAGACTTTTATTGGCCCCTAACTATAAACTTCCCAATGGCGGGGACCTTGTCTTGTTAGGCATGCTGTCCCTACTGCTGGCACAGACTCTGTACATAACACTTGTTGAAAGAGCAAATCAGAATTGACCAAGTTCTCTGTTTTCTGGAGTAGAGGACTTCTGTGTTTCCTCCATCTCGGCACTTCCGCCTCCTGTGGCTGCACCAACACAAAAATCAGAGAACTCTCACTGCACTTCTCTTTGCATCATTCAGTCACTAAACAGATAGTAAGTGGTTACCGTGTGTCAGGAACTGGACCAGGCAGTGAGAAATCCATATACTAAAAAAAAGTCTGTTGTGAAGAATGTTTGACATACACATAACTATATTCTATAGACACCAAGCTATAGAATAGTATTAATGCATCCCCGTGTGTCCACCACCTGTCTCAACAGTCAATACTGCATGTCAGCTTCCCTGTCCACACACGATCACAATCCTCTCCATGACTACAATGTTATCTTGAAGCAATAACCTGTAAATGTTTCAGAATTTTCTCTAAAATATAAGTACTCTTTTAAAAACACATAACCACAAGGGCATTATCACTTTCCTCCATCAGAATTTTTTCTCAATATAATTAAATATTGAGGAATCAAATTCGAATAAACATGGGTTTAACCTTCAAAAAATGTATAGCCGGCCAGGTGTAGTGGCTAACGCCTGTAATACCAGCACTCTGGAAGGCTGAGGTGGGGCTCGCCTCCCAAAAGCCACCATGCCCGGCCTAACGTGTAGTTTTAATAGTTTTTATGTTTCATTAACTTGTTTTTATCTACTTCTGTGAAACTAGGTTCAGTAAGAAGAACAAGGACAGCATAGATCCTTACAGATACATACCTTTTGGAGCTGGACCCCGAAACTGCATTGGCATGAGGTTTGCTCTCACAAACATAAAACTAGCTGTCATTAAAGCACTGCAGAACTTCTCCTTCAAACCTTGTGAAGAAACTCAGGTCAGTAAACTTTCCTATAAATAATGTTTATTGGGAGTTTTTTAAACTGAAAAGTCTATATATTTTTTTAAATTATTGTTCATCTTTCAATAATTTGCTCTGTGGGACAAAGAATCTAATTGGAGCTATCTATAATCCTTAAAGATGAATCTCTTCTGGAGTTCAAAATCTGTGACTTTATAAAGACAGAACTATAAAGATCATCTAATGTCAATATAGATTAGCATGGTATAATTGTGTTCAGTCTCTGTGAACTTGAGCAAATTTTAAATTCAGTTTCATGTCAACTGTAAAGATGAGGAAGTGTTTTGCACAATCATGAAGTGCAATGATTACTTTGTCAGGACTTTTGAATGGTGCTTTCCTCCACTAGAACTTGCAGAAGCCTTCTCATGACAGTGTTTCTCAACCACTAACTATACATTGGAATCACTGGGGAGCTTCAAAAATTCGTGTTGCCTGGATCATCTCACAAATTCTAAATTAATTTGCCCAGAGTTGTGGCTTTAAAAGCTCTCCCATTGGTTCTCACGTGAAGCCAATGTTGAGAATCACTAATTTAAGGCATTTCTGCCAGATAGAAAAGATGCTCATAGTCCAAGGCCATCCTGACCATTTGACCTTATCTTCCAGGAGTGCTGCTTCCCTGCTTCATACAAGCTGTGCATCTTTTCACCCCAATAATAGCTCTATTAATGTTCTTCTTTTCCTTCTCATTATGTTCTTATCCTACAAGTCCTACATCAATTCCCCAAGCCACTCTAAGAAACCTTCCCCATCGAGTACAGGGCCAATTATTCTTCTGCTTTGTTACAGTTTATTTCAGATTGTTATAACCTAATTTTATACTTTTCATTACACCAGTCAGTTTTATTCTGTAAGTCTTTTCTCTATTCTAAGAATTTCTCCTCTCTGCCCCATTTATGTTGTTTTGTTTTAATTCTTTCATAAAAGTCCAATAGCATCTTGCAGGGGACATTATCCATTGCGGGCATTCTATACATGTTTAAGGAGTGATTTGCAGTTGATTTGGAGTTCTTGGATACAAGTTTTAAGCTATTTAATTTTTAAATTTAACGTGACATTTGTATATTTGAGTGTGTGTGTCTATCTGCAGGAAAAACATATTCATGCCATTTGAAATGTAAAAATAATGAGTCATATTAATAGAAAGATATGGAATCCTTTCTCTGAAAAACTTAATGAATATTTGTCATTGATTTATATCAAGCAAGGCCCTAGAAGTCTTATTTCTAAGACTTGTGCATTTACTATGCAACTCTTATTCTAAAGTAGGCTTTGTGCATGGGAAAAAAGAAGAATAGATAGTGTTTCAATCTTATTTGTGGCTTTAGGGAAGCTGTGTATCCATCCTCTAAGTGTGTACAGACAGAGGCTCAGCTCTGAATAAAAGCAGGTCTCTGCACACGTGGGATGGGGTGATACTCCCTGGCAAGTTCCCAAGCATTTACTAGCTGGCACTTTTCAATTTCCATGACAATTTCCCTGCCCTTCACTTAACTGAGATCAGAACATTTCTCTGCTGGCTGCTCCCCTGACACTGAAGAAGTGACTTGGTGAGAATGAGGGCTCAAAGTATTAGTCAAAACACTATAGGCCTTGAGAAGCTTCCCATTTGCATTTCCTTTGGAAATCAAGAGAAGATGTAAAAAACAAAAGCATAATGCTTCTTGAAGTTCTCTTCCCATCATTACACTGGATGGGTTCAGTTGGAAGAAGTCAATGAATTCTTTATAAGTTGAAGACTGTCCATTTAATTGAAATATATAACACCTACTGAGGATTATCTTGCAAGTTTCATCATACACAAAATTAACTTTATATGACTTTTCTAAAATAGTTTAACATAATGCCTAATAATCTGGATTTGGTTTTTTAAAATATCTCTTTGCTTAAAATTTAAATAAAAAGGAACAGAAGCCAGCATGAACAATCTCAAGCCTGGCACAGAATAGATACTCAATAAACATTTTGTTAAATGATGAATGGTAAATGCTTTCACTATCCAGTCTTCACAGAGCTCACTGAACAAGTACAAAGAAACCAACATGTATGGTGCTGAAAGTAGTTTTTTAAAATCATTGCAAAGCATTACCCTTGATGTCATCTTTTTTACTTTGCTTCTATCTTTTCTTCGTTTGCTTCATTGTTTCCCAATATTCTTGTTTAACTTTTGCAGATCCCACTGAAATTAAACAATCTACCAATTCTTCAACCAGAAAAACCTATTGTTTTAAAAGTGCACTTAAGAGATGGGATTACAAGTGGACCCTGACTTTCCCTAAGGACTTCCACTTTCTTCAAGAAAGCTGTATCCCAGAACACCAAACACTTCAAATTGCTTTGTGAATAAAACTCAGAAATGAAGATGAGCTTAACCTAGTGTACTGGGTGAATAATTAGAAATTATCTACATTCATTGAGCTCTCATTGTCTGCATAGAGTATTACACATTGCATACTGTGAAGGAGGTGACAAATCAGTGCCAAATAAGTACAGTCATCTTCTCTATTTCTCATAAGACTATGTCCTCGCCACCTACAGTTAGTACCCTCAGGTCCTCCTGAGCTCTGATCAGAGAATAAACTTTTCTCTACAATTTTACCAATAATTTTTCATGAAAAGGAAAATTATAGTTATGATTCTTATAGTGACATTTATATTACATGCTCTATTTGTGATATTCTATAGTAAGTATTATATTGAGAAAGTCAATAAACACCTCTTTACAAAACTGTTATCTGATGTCTTCCTGCATATTAAGGATGAATCTACAGAATTAGATCAATGAGATCAACAACTAAATATTTTTGGTCATTACAATTGCTGGTTCTATGGGGCCTTTTACAGAACTCTAACTTGATTATTAATCTAGGTGTGAGTTAAACCACTGTGACTTTGTCTATTGTTTAGAAAACATATTTGTAGTTTCGTAGTTTCATTTGGCCTCTTTTGAAGCACACAGTTTGGTAACATTCAACTTAGGAACTTATTTTTACATTATCAGTTTTGATTTAATGTTATATATCATCTCAACTGATAGTACTGGAAGGCAGGGAACACGTTTTCCTATACTTGTTCTATTTCACCTTTTACTCTCAAATGTTTTAACATAATGAACACTGAATAAGATGTGGTTTATTAGTCAGTTGATTGGGCAGCAAAGCTAAAGGCATTCATCAGTTTCAGCTGGTATCAGAGGCTGCACAGAATTCTTTCTTTTCCTTTTCTGCTTCATCCCAAAGAAATAGGGCTATATATTCCCAAATTTTCAAAATAATGTTGATATTTTGGCCTCCTCCCACGGCTCATGAATGCTCTCAATGGCCTCTAGAGTAGTAAATCCTTTCCAGAAGGCTTTCAATTGACTTTGCCCAGATCCATCAGAGGAATCACTATCTATGGTGGCTATAGCCTTATGAAATGTATTTCTTAAATAATTAGACTTGAAAGTTAAAATTACTCTTTTATCCACAGCTGTAGAATGGATGTTTTGTTAATAGGCATTAAAGCAACAATAATCTTTTTGTCATCTTCATCAGAGCTCTTGAGTGACTAAAAGTATTATCAATGAGCAGTGATATTTTGTTTTGTTTGTTTCTATTTTATTTTATTTTATTTTAGGTTTCAGGATACATGTGCAGAACATGCAGGTTTGTTACATAGGTAAAGGGGTGCTATGGTTTGCTGCACCTATCAACCTACCACCTAGATATTAAGCCCCAAATGCATTAGCTGTTGGTCCTGATGCTCTACCTCCCCCGCCCCCGCCCAACAGGCCCCATTGTGTGTTGTTTCCTGTGTTCATGTGTTCTCATTGTTCAGCTCACACTAATGAGTGAGAACTTGTGGTGTTTGGTGTTCTGTTCCTGTGTTAGTTTGCTAAGGATAACAGCTTCCAGCTTCATCCATATCCCTGCAAAGGACATGATCTCATTCCTTTTCATGGCTGCATAGTATTCCATTGTGTATATGTACCACATTTTCTTTATTCAGTCTATCATTGGCAGGCATTTCGGCTGATTCCAAATCTTTGCTATTGCAAATAGTGCTGCAATAAACAGGCTAAGTCTACCTGAAGTCAATTATTGTCTAATTTTATCTGTGTTGCAGACATTTTTAAAATCATCTCAAGAGGCTAGACCAGCACTATTTGCTTGGGAGTTGTACTTATGTAAGGAAATTTAACTGGTAACAGATACAAGGTTTAAAAAGAAAAAACAAAGTGAAATTAATAGTAATATGATAACTCTAGTTTGCATAATGCTTATGAGCCATGAACCTAGGCTTAAAGGCAAGTAATTAAATAAACCAAATGACCATAGGGAATTAGTTGAGACAGGTTGTAACCACGTGGCCAGTTTTTCTTATTTTGTGTATATGGGTCTCCACTTTTCCAGAGTGAGGACTAAGCCTTGATTTTTTCATCTTGCCCAAATTCCTATCTAAGGGGTCTAGGGAGTCATGCCCTACAAACCATAAATTCTCATCAGATGGGTTTTATTTAACCCTATATATCGTGACTTACTTTCCAACCTGACTTTGGCATAACATTACGTGACAAAGAAGAAACTCAAAATATTTTACCCCAAAACATGTTTCTTTGCCATATCTTGAAATGGTCCTGCAAAGCTGTCCTTTGTGGGGGAAATTTGCATCTGTAAAGCATCTCTTTTCATATGTAGCTAGATCTTTTTCTTCCAGGCCCTCCCAATCCTGAAGAGATGAAGTAAGAGTCTAACACCTTTTAAAGGTCTGAATGGGAAATATTTGTCATCTATTGTCTCTAAGGGCAGCCACTATAAGACTTCAAAAGAACCCTGGTCTCCACAACCTTTTTTTTTTTTTTCTTAAATCTTAACCTGAACATTTCCTTTCTATCCATCCCAGGTCTTTAAACAAACTCAACCAATGGTCAGTCAGAAAATGTTTAAATTTTCTTATAGCCTGGAAGCACACATACCCCCAACATCCCACTTTGAGTTGTCCCACCTTTCTGAACCAAACCATTGTATTTCCAAAATGTATTTGATTGATGTCTCATGCCTCTCTAAAATGTATAAAACCAAGACGCACCCCTATCACCTTGGGCATATGTTCTCAATACCTCCTGAGAGCTGTGTCACAGGACATGCTCACTAATATTTGGCTCAGAATAAATCTCTTCAAATATTTTACAGAGTTTGATTCTTTTCATCAACAAAAGGAAATTACCCTAATATAGCATGTACTATTAGCAATAATGTTACCCAGAAGGGGTCCCAGTCCAGACGCCAAAAGAGGGTTCTTGGATCACTCGCAAGAAAGAATTCAGGGCAAGTCCATAGAGTAAAGTGAAAGCAAGTTTATGAAGAAGTAAAGGGATAAAAAATGGCTACTTCATGAGCAGAACAGCAGCATAGGCTCCTCCTTGGCCATTTTTATGTTATTTCTTGATTACATGCTAAATAAGGGAGATTATTCATGAGTCTTCCAGGAAAGGGTGGGCAATTCCCAGAACTGAGGGTTCCTCCCCTTTTTAGACCATATGGGGAAACTTCCTGACATTGCCATGTCATTTGTAAACTCTCATGGCGCTGGTGGGAGTGTCTTTTAGCATGTTGATGCATTATAATTAGCGTATAATGATCAGTGAGGATGACCCGAGGTCACTTCCGTTGCCATTTTGGTTTGGTGGGTTTTGGCCAGCTTTTTTTACACTTGCTGTTTTGTTTTGGTTTTGGGGGTTTTTTTGGAGACAGGGTCTCACTCCATCACCAAGCCTAGAGTGCAGTAGTGCAATCTCAGCTCACTGCAACCTCTGTCTCCCAGAGTTCAAGGGATTTTCGTGCCTCATCCTCCCCCTCCCGCCACCCCAAGTAGCTGAGACTACAGGAATGCACCACCACACCTGGATAATTTTTATATTTTTAGTAGAGACGGGGTTTCACCATGTTGGCTAGGCTGATCTCAAACTCCTGACTTCAGGTGATCCGCCCGCCTCGGCCTCCCAAAATGCTGGGATTCACCTGCTATTCTTTTAGAGTTGCAATGTGTTGCTTGTCCTTCCTCTTAACAAGTATTTTATTGCTTTTATTGAGCAAATAAAAGCAATGATCAAAACAGGGCTAGTGAAAGAATGTTTTTCTGTCTTCCCAAACTGGAGGGTAGACATTCATTTTTTAAATTTAAATACTTATTTAATTTTTATTTGGAAATATATATTCACAGAAAGTTGCCCCAAAAATGTACAAGGATGTGTCATGTACCCTTCATTTTTCCCCCAATGTTAATGTCTTCCATAACTATGAATATATTATACTCTAGTAACAAGATTATTACTCTAAGTAACTAAGATTATTACTCTAAGTAACTATTATTACTCTAAGTAACTAGATTATTACTCTAGTAACAAGAAATTGACATTGACATAATCCACAGGGCTTTATTCAGATTTCACCATTTTATGAGCCCTCATTTGTGTGTATGTGTGTGTGTGTGTGTATAGCTCTATGCAAATTCATCACACGTGTAGATTTGCATAATGCCCAGAAGAATCAAGATACACAACTACTCCATCAGCCTATGACCCTCGTGATTCTCACCTGCTATTCTTTTATAGTCACAATGTGTAGCTTAACTTTTTTTCACAAGGTTTTTTCATGACTTTTATCAAGCAAAACTTTATTTTGAGGGGACCAATTTATCAATTTTTCCTGTTATGAATTGTGTTCTTGGTATTGAGTCCGAAAATTCTTTGTGTACCGCACCCCACCCCCAATGTTTTTGTTGTTTTTCTAAAAGTTACATAGTTTTATCCTTTACGTTTAAGTCTATGATTCGTTCTGCATTAATTTTTATATAAGGTATCAGATTTAAATCAAGGTTCATTTCTTGGGGCCTATAGCTATTCATTGTTCCAACACCATTTTTGGAAAGGCTATCCTTCCTCCACTGAATTGCTTTTGCACTACTATCAAAAATCATTTGGGCTGGGCACGGCGGCTCACACCTGTAATCCTAGCACTTTGGGAGGTCGAGGCAGGTGAATCACTTGACATCAGGAGTTCGAGACCAGCCTGGCCAACATGGTGAAACCCCATCTCTACTAAAAATACAAAATTAGCTGGTCATGGTGGCGCATGCCTATAGTCCCAGCTACTTGGGAGGCTGAGGCAAAAGAATCGCTTGAACCCAGCAGGCGGAGGTTTCAGTAAGCCAAGTTCAAGCTACTGCACTCTAGCCTGGGCAACAGAGCAAGACTCTATCTTTAAAAAAAAAAAAAAATCAGGCCAGGCGCGGTGGCTCATGCCTATAATCCCAGCATTTTGGGAGGCCAAGGTGAGCGGATCACGAGGTCCGCTCAGGAGTTCGAGACCAGCATGACCAACATGGTGAAACCCCATCTCTACTGAAAAATACAAAAATTAGACGGGCGTGGTGGTGTGCACTTGTAATCCCAGCTACTCAGGAGGCTGAAGCAGGAGAAACGCTTGAACCAGGGAGCCGAAGGTTGCAGTGAGCCAAGATCATGCCATTGCACTCCAGCCTGGGCGACAGAGCAAGACTCCATCTCAAAAAAAAAAAAAAAAAAAATCAGCTGGGCCTATTTGTGTGCATCTATTTTTCATTCTCTATTCTGTCCCACTGATCATAGCGTCTTGACTACAGCAGCTGCATAGTAAGTAGTAACATCATTGCGAGTGATTTCTCCCACTTCATTTATTTTTTTCAGAAATATTTTATCTATTGTTGGTCCTTTGACTTTCTATACAATTCAGAATAAACATCAATATCTAAAAATAAACTTTCTGAAATTTTGATACAAATTGAAATAAACTTACAGATCAATATGAAATAAATCTATATCTTTACTATGTACAATCTTGACCGTAAGAACACAGGATACCTCTCTATTTCCTTTCCTTCCTTTCTTCCTCTCATGTACATTTCCTAGTTTCAGGACAGTGAGATGTTTTGTTAGGTTTATAGCTGAAGTCTTTTGTTTTAATTGGAGGGATTATAAATCATATAGCATTTATAATGTGTTTTCATATATTCATTGCTGTCATGTAGAAATGTGTTTGACTTTTTATGTGTTGCTCTTGTATCCTACAATAGTGCTAACTTCACCTTTTTTTTTTTTTTTTTTTTTTTTTTCTTTTGAGTCTTACTCTGTTGCCCAGGCTGGAGTGCAGAGGTACGATCTCGGCTCACTGCAACCTCTGTCTCCCGGGTTCAAGCAATTCTCCTGCCTCAGCTTCCCGAGTAGCTGGGACTACAGGCACGCACCACTACACCTGGCTAATTTTTGTATTTTTAGCAGAGACAGGATTTCACCATGTTAGTCAGGCTGGTCTCGAACTCCTGGCCTCAAGTGATCCGCCCACCTCACCCTCCCAAAGTGCTGGGATTACAGGTGTGAGCCACCACACCCGGCCTGAATTCATTTTTTTATTCCAGAGTTCCCCTTGCATATTCTTTGAGTGTTGAGATGCTCCTGATCATACTCTAGTATGGAGATGTGTGTTTGAGAAACCTGAGACAGACAGTAGAGAAGGGCAAGCCCCTCACTTTGAGAGAAAGTAGAAGCACAGCCATGGGGTTCTGAGTTGGCATGAGCCCCTCCAGCTGCCTGCCATGGAGCTGATATCCCCACTCTTGGGTTACTCCAGTGACCAGACAAAAGCAGGGCTGTAGTGTTGTGACTCCAATGGGCCATCCTAGAGGGGACGGCTCCCATGAGAAGACAGGGAAGCAGTGTGGGGTTGGGAGTCAAGGGGGATTATTTTCTCCTCTGTTCACAGAAGGCTAAATTTACTCATCTGCTAAATTGTCACCATGGATATTCTGGAAGACAAATACATTTTCTAGATGTAGTTCCTACATCAACAGCATCAGCACCACTTGGGATTCATTAAAAATGTAAATTCAGAGTTTTCGAATGAGAAACTCTGAATCAGAAACCCTGGAACTGGGGCCCAGCAAACTGCTTTAACAAGACCTTCAGATGATTCTAATGTGTACTCATGTTTGAAAATCGCTGCTATAGAAGAGCATGAGAACAAGGAAGTAACATGAAAGAATTTAAATGAAAAAGTTAAAATGATGAGAACATTCAAGCAAAGAAATGGAAAATGAAGAGTCAATGAAGTAGGAGTTAAATTGAGTGTAGTGTTCAGTGAAGAAAATGTTTCAAAAAGGAAGGCATAATCAACTTTGTCAAAGGCTGTTGGGTACACTGAAAATTGGCCGTTGAATGTGGCCACAAGGAGGCCCTTTGTGACAATCATCCTAATGGTTTCCACAGATTGATGATGACAAAAGCCAACTGAAGTGAGCTCAGGAGAATATGGAAGTAGAAAAAGTGGAAATAACGGGTAAAGAAAACTGTTTTGGCCAGGCGCGGTGGCTCATGCCTGTAATCCCAGCACTTTGGGAGGCTGAGGCAGGTGAATCACGAAGTCAGGAGATCGAGACCATCCTGGCTGATGTGGTGAAACCCCGTCTCTACTAAAAATTAAAAAAAAAAAAAAAAAAAAAAAAGGATTAGCCGGGCATGGTGGCAGGTGCCTGTAATCCTAGCTACTCAGGAGGCTGAGGCAGGAGAATGGCTTGAACCTGGGAGGCGGTGCTTGCAGTAAGTGGAGACCACGCCACAGTGAGACTCTGTCCCAAAAAAAAAAGAAAACTGTTTCAAGGAATTCTTCTGTAAGACTGTTTAGACCACGGATGGACGTCCAATCTTTTGGCTTCCCCAGGCCACACTGGAAGAAGAAGAATTGTCTTGGGCCACACAAAATACACTAAAACTGATGATAGCTGATGAGCTAAAAAATAAATACATATATACATACATACATATATACATACAGACATACATATTAAAATCTCATAATGTTTTAAGAAAGTTTATGAATTTGTGTTGGGCCACATTCAAAGCCTTCCTGGGCCACATACAGCCTGCAGTACATGGGTTGAACGAGCTTGGTTTAGACTTTCCAGGGTTGAGAGGAAGTTTCTTTTTAAGATGACAGTCATAAAAGTATGTCTGCAGGCTGATGGTATTGATCAAGTAGACTGGGAAAATTTATAATGCAGGAGAGAGAGGAATAATTTCAAGAGCAAGATTATAAGAGATCCCTACAGATTAGACGGTTATGACGACCTGTGTTAGTCCTCCCCCATATTGTTAAACCCAAATAATCTTGTCCCCATTGGATGAATTCTACTACTGGCCTCTTCTTGGACTTACTCTGTGGACAATTTGGCAGTAAATGGATATGGGAGTAATAGTCTCCAAATCTGGTTCTTTAGTGCTCCCATGGATTCTGGGATCTTCCCAGCATCCGTTCAATAAGCCTCTTTTCTGCTTGTATCGTTCAGAGTCCATTTCTGTTGCTTGGAACCAATACTCACAACTAACACAAAATCTCAGGTCACTGTTTCTGTTTTGTTTTGTTTTGTTTTTCCATTAAACACATAGGATTACTGAGGCCTTGAGAGGTTAAGTAATTTACCATGTATCCCACTGTTAACAAGTGGCAGACTCTCCTCCAGATCACTCTGATTCCAAATCACAAGGCAAGAAACCCTCAAAGAACAGAAAGGTATTTTCAGTCTGTGAAATAATAAAAGTTAATATCCCTACTGATATGACAGGTCCAATATAAACCAAGAAAAGCACAAGCAGATGTATAAAAAATCTTAAGTTTCACAATGTAAATTCCAAACATCTAGTTTACCACCTGGATCATACTAGGCACTCAACAAATATCTGTTAAACACAACATGTATTACAAGGATTATGTTATATATTATTATGTATGTATACAAAATGCATTATTCCTTCCCTTACGAATTCTTACACACTGTGATTCAAGGAACTCTAAGGGTGTAAGAATATAACTTTTAGGGCTGGGTACAGTAGCTCACGCCTGTAATCTCAGCACTTTGGGATGCCGAGGCAGGTGGATAACCTGAGGTCAGGAGTTGAAGACCAGCCTGACCAACATGGTGAAATCCCGTCTCTACTAAAAATACAAAAATTGGCCGGGCGTGGTGACGTGCGCCTGTAATCCCAGCTACTCTGGAGGCTGAGGCAGGAGAATCACTTGGACCTGGGAGGCAGAGGTTGCAGTGAGCTGAGATCGTGTCACTGCACTCCAGCCTAGGTGACAGAGCCAGACTCCATCTCAAAAAAAAAAAAAAAAAAAAAAAGAATATAACTTTTATATCATGCATCCTCCCTTTCAAACAGCCATGATTCACCATTTACTTCCCATGTTTCCAAAAGTAAGCAACACACCCCCATTTTATGCTCCATAAATATTCTCTGGTGGCATGTTTTATATATTTGTTGTCAATAAAAATAATAATAGATAAGGGCCCTTATATCTTTATCTTGCCTTCTTTTTTTCAGGGTGTCACTGACCTTTATATGTCTTCTTTCAAAAGGACTTTTTTAAAAGTTTTCCCTAATTCTCTAAAGACCCACTGAAATGTTCTCCACAGTGCTTGGATACCTGACACCGAAGTGGAATATTGGAATTGTGTGTTAAACGTGTTTTTCTTCCAGTAGTAAAACAGCATAAGGGAGCTAGCTCCCTGAAAAACCTCACAGGTTTACATGAATTAATTTAAGGAGCTTATCCTATTCCACTCTACACTCGGGGCAACCATAATTGCAGTCGTTGAATGCATTGGGTGATAACGTCTCTCCTCAGCACTCTTCTCAGAGCCTTAGCTACATCTTTATTCCGGAGAGTATAAATCAGAGGATTCAATGTGGGGGTAACGATGCTGTAGAACACAGAACCAACTGTGTCCTGCAATGGAGTGCGCTGGGACCTGGGTCTCATGTAGGAGAAGATGCAGGCACCAAACCAAAGAGAAACCACCGTGAGGTGGGAGCTACAAGTGGCAAAGGCATTTCTCTTGCTCCCAGATGAACGCATCTGAATGACACTTTGAAGGATGAAGACATAGGATGTAGAAATCAGCAAGATGGGGAGGAGAAGAAGGAGGATGCTGCTGATGTACACTGTGGTCTCATACACAGTGATGTCGCCACACACCAGCTTCACAACAGCTGGGAACTCACAGTAGAAGTGGTAGACTTCCCAAGGCCCACAGAAAGGGAAGTGCATCAAGATTGCTGTGTGAATTAGGGAGTTCACGGATGCCCCCAACCATGACGTGACAACCATCATCAGTCCCACCTTCTTGCTCATGAGCACAGCATAGCGCAGTGGATGACGGATGGCAACATGGCGGTCATAGGACATGACAACTAAGAGAAAACACTCAGCACCACCCAGAGACAAATAGAGGAAGTGCTGGGTTGCACAGCCCACAAAGGAGATAGACTTCTTGCCAGATAGGTAGTTGGTAGCCACCTTAGGGATGGTTGTGGAGACATGAATCAGATCCACGAGGGAGAGCTGGCTGAGCAGGAAATACATTGGTGTGTGAAGCTGGGGATCAATGCAGATGAGGAGAATGGTGAGGGTGTTGCCACTCACGGCAATAAGGAAGACCACCATGGTCAAGGAGAAAAGGAAAAGGTGGGTAAGGGAGTCATCAAAGAGCCCCTCAAGGATGAAGTCTGCCAGAGAGGTCTGATTCCTCTGCCACCTTGTTCCCTTTCTCAGTCCCTGGGGTAACAGAGAGTGGAGATAAAGGGTGTGATTAGAAATACTGGGGTCCAGCATACCCGATGAAAAGCACCTTTTGATAGAAGACAGAACCTGTGGAAAAAAAAGTTTCCATTTCTAATTATTCAACCTCTCTAATTATTGAAATAACCTTTATTTAAAAGAGAGCTTTAAAATCTGCCTTCACAAACATAATCACTCTGAAATTTCAGAATATCTAGACTCTATTATCAAACTTCAAGTCTCTTCTCGTTAAGAAAGATATATATGTGTGTGTATGTGTGATTGTATATGTATGTGTGTATATTTATTCACCATTTACTTCCTATGCTTCCAAAACACACATACGTACACACACACACACACACACACACACATATGTCTTTCTTAATGAGAAGAGACTTGAAGTTTGATACTTAATAGAGTCTAGATATTCTGAGATTTCAGAGTGATCGTATTTGTGAAGGCAGATTTTTAATCTCTCTCTCTCTACACACACACACACAGAGTTTGGGGCAAAGCTTGAGGGGGTTGTTTATTTTATCAGTGAGAATTTTATTAGAAAAGCTAAAACACTAAGAGATTTCTCTTACACAATTGTGGAAGCTGGTTAGGCCATCTATGCATGGCTGTTACCTTTGTGTCTGATGCTGGAACTTTAAGTCCAGAGGGCAAGTAGTCAGGAAAAAAAATGGATATAAAAAGTGGCAGATCAAAGGCATGCTGGAACCCACAAGCATGAGCTGTAACCCCACAAAGGCAGACTGAAACCCACATCAGTTCTTGTTGCCTCTGAAATTGGTGGTGTGGATATCCTGCAGAAGCTGGGGCGCTTGTTAATGGTCCGATTAAGAATGCACACACCTGGCTGGGCGCTGCGGCTCACGCCTGTAATCCAGCACTTTGGGAGGCCGAGGCGGGCAGATCACGAGGTCAGGAGATCAAGACCATTCTGGCTAACACAGTGAAACCCCGTCTCTACTAAAAATACAAAAAAATTAGCCGGGCAAGGTGACGGGCACCTATAGTCCCAGCTACTCGGGAGGCTGAGGCAGGAGAATGGCGTGAACCTGGGAGGCAGAGCTTGCAGTGAGCGGAGATCGCATCACTGCACTCCAGCCTGGGCGACAGAGCGAGACTCCATCTCAAAAAAAAAAGAAAAAAAAAAGAATGCACACACCTGACACAGAAGTCAGAAAAACTAAAGGAGAATCCAAGGGAAGGCCTTTTGAAGACCATCTGGTTGGCAACACTTTTTGGTGCTGGGGCAATGTCCTCCAGGATGCGAAATATACTCTAAATCTGCATTCAACTTATCCTGCTGTTCCTCCCATAGCAAGATTCATGGAACCAGAAATCACCAGGTGGAAGCGAGAACGAGTCTTCTCACTACAGTCTCTGTAACTGTGACCCACCAGCAAAATTTTAGCTTTCTATCCCTTCACTTTTAGGTTCTGCTGTTTTAGAGGTCTTAGTTCCAAAGGGAGAAATTCTTCCACCGGGTATCACAACAATAATCCCATTTGCTGATAGTTAAGACTGCCACCGTGCCACTCGGGGCTTCTCATGGAACTGAATCGATAGGCACATAAGGTTACTCTATTGGCTAATGAGACTGATTCTGACTAGCAACGGGAAACTCAGTTACTATTACATGGTGAGGATAAGGAGAATTATGTCTGCAATCAGATTTTCTAGGGTGCACTCTCATGTCCCATGATGTAAGCCAATAGAAAACCACAACCCAATTCGGACAAGACTGCTAGTGGCCCAGATGCTTCAGGAATAAAGGTTTGGGTTACCCCACCAAGCAAAGAATCATGAATAACTGTAGACAAAGAGAATCGGAATGGGTAGTGAAAGCAAGTCATTATAAATACCAGCCAAAACCATGTAAGCAGCTGCAGAAACAAAAACTGTAATAGTTATGGGCATTTACTTGTGTGTGTGTGTGTGTGTGTGTGTGTATGTGTACTGAATATTTGTTTTCTTCTCCTCTGTCATCCCCTATATCTAACATAAGATATATTAATAATTGTTAATTTCAGGCTGGGCACAGTGGCTCACATCTGTAATCCCAGCACTTTGGAAGGCCAAGGCAGGCAGATCACCTGAGGTCAGGAGTTCGAGACCAGCCTGGCCAACATAGTGAAACCCGTCCCTACTAAAAATACAAAAATTAGCCAGGCGGGGTGGCACATACCTGTAATTGCAGCTACTTAGGAGGCTGAGGCATTAGAATTCTTGAACCCAGGAGGCGGAGGTTGCAGTGAGCCAAGGTTGTGTCACCGTACTGCAGCGTGGGTGACAGGGTGAGACTCCGTCTCAAAAAAATAAAACAAAAAAGATGCTGGAGAGGATGCAGAGAAATAGGAACACTTTTACCCTGTTGGTGGGACTGTAAACTAGTTCAACCACTGTGAAAGGCAGTGTGGCGATTCCTCAGGGATCTAGAACTAGAAATACCATTTGACCCAGCCATCCCATTACTGGGCATATACAAAAAGGATTATAAATCATGCTGCTATAAAGACACAGGCACACGTATGTTTACTGCAGCACTATTCACAATAGCAAAGACTTGGAACCAACCCAAATGTCCATCAATGATAGACAGGATTAAGAAAATGTGGCACATATACACCATGGAATACTATGCAGCCATAAAAAAGGATGATTTCATGTCCTTTGTAGGGACATGGATGAAGCTGGAAACCATCATTCTGAGCAAACCATTGCAAGGACAGAAACCCAAACACCACATGTTCTCACTCATAGGTGAGAATTGAACAATGAGAACACTTGGACACAGAGTGGGGAACATTACACAGTGGGGCCTGTCGTGGGGTGGGAGGAAGGGGGAGGGATAGCATTAGGAGATACACCTAATATAAATGACGAGTTAATGGGTGCAGCACATCAACACGGCACATGTATACATATATAACAAACCTGCACATTGTGCACATGTACCCTAGAACTTAAAGTATAATTAAAAAAAAAAAAGTAACCTTAATTGATCCCTCAAATATCCACCACCCTATTCTTTTTGTGTTTTTTCTCCTAAATGTCTTTCTAGACTTTCATACAGTGCATATTATCTATTTACTTTTTAAAGTGAAGAACTCAGAAAGAGTCACATCTGGTCAGGTACGGTGGCTCACGCCTGTAATCCTGGCATTTTGGGAGGCTGAGGCAAGTGGATCACCTGAGGTCAGGAGTTCGAGACCAGCCTGACCAACATGGAGAAACCCCATCTCTACTAAAAATACAAAATCAGCCGGGCGTGGTGGTGCATGCCTGTAATCCCAGCTACTCGGGAGGCTGAGGCAGGAGAATCGCTCAAACCCGGGAGGCAGAGGTTGCGGTGAGCCAAGATCACACCATTGCACTCTAGCCTAGCAACAAGAGCAGAACTCCCTCCGGAAAAAAAAAAAAAAAAAAAAAAAAAGTCACATTTATTACTCTGTCTCTTCTAAGACAACCTACAGTATCATCTTTCTGGCTGTCACTTCACCCTTGTTTCATACTCAGCTTCTAGTGTACTAAAAGCTCAACTTCTCCCATGCTCCTTCTGATCACTTCAACCCATTAGAGATCTCCACACACTTCCCTTTTATTTAAGTATCCATATACTTCTCCATTGCTTTCCACATTAGTGTCCATCTTTCTGTACAAATCTCCATGGTGTAAGTTTTTCACCATCTGACCCGTGTCTCTCTTCCTCCCTTCAGCAACTTTGCTAATAATTTTCCATTCTGATTTGTGGCCTTCAAGTGACTTTTTTTTCTCTGTCTTCTGAGGAAGCTTTCCTCATGGATTGGTCAAATGTCATCCTCTGACTTAAGGGATAAGCTGGCAATGCCCTAGTTTCTAATAAAGTTTCCTAGATACCTCAAGCCTTAATATTATCTTACCTGGAATTTCCTCTGCAGAGACTCGTAGGAAGACAAGAATAGAAGTGAAATGCAGAGGGCAAGAGAGGTCCACGCTGACCCACGTGTTGGCTACTGGTGATCAAAACAAGCCTTTTCTGAGGTGCTCACCAGACTTCCTTCCCTAAGCCTGGAAATTTCCATCTACGTTACCTTTTGGTGGAACGGCATAGGAGAAATTGCCCCAATGCAGCCATTGTTGTTTGCACTAACTACCCTAATGACAGAACATCACCAGGACTAATGGGACACATGTGTGTTCATATCATGAGCTCCATCAACACACATCAGGACAGATTAAGTAACTGAACTTCTTTAGCCTCTACTAGTCGGGTCTTTGAATCACACATATGCTTCCTCTGGCTCTATACGTATATTTGAGACAACCCTCCCTTCCAGTATCACAGCTTGGGTAATAGGAATTTCCATTAATATCACTTTATTAAGAAGGTAAACTGAATACCAGTTTAATCGTGAATGTGCCCAGAGTCAAAATAAAATCTGTTATGGTTTTCCATTGTTTTGGATCTCTCAAGGCACTCTCTTCTTAGCTTTACACCTCCTCCCCTCCTTAATAAAATATAAATTTGGCTTTCTGACTGCATAAATGTCTTCTCAATAGTAATCATGGGGGTTAGAGTAAGAACATTCTTGGTCTGATGTGAGCCAATCATAAGAAAAAATGGACATCATCTGGGAGAAATAAAACATCCCCCTAACCCAGAAGACCTATGTCAGCTGAGGCAAATTGAGGACACTAAATAGAATGGCATCAGGGATTCCATCCCAGAAGACATATCTTCCATCACTTCTGGAGACCATTACTCAAGACGTCAATTAGACTGTGCTGTGCGCACTAAGATAAGCATCCCCAAAGGGCTTTACTTGGAGTTTGTTCCAAGTGATGAGGAGAATGAGATATTTTGCGGAGTGAGCCTGAAGATAACAGAATATTCTCCTCAGGGGCCAATTAACTGTGGAGATAAACAATTCTTAGAGTCCATTGATTGTTTTTCATTTGGGAACCCAGATTTCTGTAACCCCTTTCCACGCAACCCTTTTGAGAAGACAGTCTGAGTAATAATATCTAGTCTCTTTTGCCCACAGCACCCTTTTGAGGGTTTTCCATGTGCCATATCATAGGAAAGAAGTCAAGGAATAGAGACAGCCAGTTCCCATCCTAGCTGTTGGTTGTACTCCAATTTCATAGACTACATGAATATAACATGTCAAGAGATTTCACGTAGAGTGTGGTGACTCA